GTTGTGGGGGGAAAAAAGCATCATAAGAAACTTGGAACAATTTGTTAGAAAATAATCTTTCATCTTCATGGCTGCTAACTGCTAGTTATTCAATATTCTCTCTCTCGTTAGGTTTTAACATACCACATGTCCCATTTAATAAGAGCATTAAAAAATTTCTCAAATGAATTTAAGTGAAATTACTCTCGCTAAATCTTGGTTTAAATGATGGTGCTCTGATCTCTTCTTGTTGAGAATGTAAAAGTCTCTCAATTATCCTTATTAATGAATAAGTTTAGTGGTGACAGGAATATTAAACAGAATTCACAATTGATACATAAATGCGCATTACCTTTATATTTGGCTAATAACTCCCTGGAATTCGGAAGGCTTCTTAGTTTAATTTGGGAAAATAATCTCTAACCATCTTTCCTTTGAGCTGCTGCTATATTGCAAACCAAAAAAGGCAACAGTGGACACTATGATGAAGAAAGAAGCAAAACACACCCATCTGATCCCAGAGTTTATGAGGTTAATGCAAATGAAGGGTGTAATAACTGCCTATTAGAATCACCTGGGACCTTTAAAAAACCCAGGCCACACCCCAGGCTAATTACATCAGGATCTCTGGGCGTGGGCCCAGGCATCAGCATTCTTAAAACTCCCAGGTGATTCCAGTGTGCAGCTAAGGCTATGAGCTGTTGGTTTAGCAGCTATGCTGTGCTGGGTAACTCTCATCTGATGAGATAAAGGTCTGCAGCCTGCAAGCACTTTGCTAAAAACAGCTGTTTGCAATGAAAGTACACACAGTCTCAATAATATCAGTGTCACCAGAAATAAAAAAGAACTAGGAGTTACAATATATCCCTTCAAAAGTACTTAAACCAAACCACTCAAGGGTACCAAGTTTTACACATAAGGTTGGTCGCTGCAGCATGTTTTGGTAATCCATAAGTAACTAGTTAAATAAGTGGTCAATTTCAGAATATGAAACTACTAAGAGAGAGTAGAATAATTCTATTTATTGAGCGCCTACTATGGGCACTCACTGTAAACAGGATCCTGTTCCAGGAACTTGGAATTCATCAGAGTTCAGGACAACAATCCTTGTCCTTATGAAGCTTACATTCTAGACAAGGCCAGCTACATCATTTGTGAGGCCCAGTGCAACTGAAAATGTGATGCTCCTTGCTCAAAAATTACTAAAATTTCAAGATGGTGACAGCAGAGCATTAAACCAAGCACAGGGCCTCCTAAGTGCAGGGCCCCATGTGACAGCACAGGTTACCCGGCCATAAAGCCAGCCCAGATTCTAGAGGAGGGAGACTGGTGATGAACAATAAAGATAATAAGCACATATATTACACAGCACGTTAGACGTGGTAAGTGCTGTGGAGGGGCAAAGAGTAGAACAAAGGGAAACCCAGGTGCAATTTTAAATAGGGTGCTCAGGGGGCCACATTGCAGGAGTGCCATCTGAGCAAAGATTTGAAGGAAGCAAGGGAGTCTGCGGGAATATTTGAGACAAGAGCTTTCCAGGCAGGAGGACTGGCTTGAGCAAAGGCCCTAAGTAAGGCTGGCAGGTGCCTGGAGTGCAGCTGGAGCAGAACTGGTGAGGATGCAGCAGAGAGAAAGGAGAGACCGGATCACGGAGGGCCTTAGAGCCAACTGCAAGGACTCTGACCTTCCACTTGACATTTTAAAGGAATCGCTCTGGCTGCTGTGCAAAGAGTCAGATAGAAAATGAGAATAAAGGATGTACATGAGATTATATATATAAATATATATATACACACACACACATATATATTCTAACATGGAAAGTTTTCCACAATATATATAAGATAAAGGTACAGTCCATAAAGTAGTGTGTACTTAATGGCCCATTTTTTTTTATAAGAAAATCCCAAACTATATATATAAGTAGAAAAGATCATAAATGTCACAAACCAAGCTGTTAATAATAGTTACTCCTGTGGATTGGGACTGACAAGTGGTAAGGAACAATGTCACATTTTACTTTACTCTCCTGACATACTTCAATATTTTATTATAAGTATAAATTAGGATTGTAAATATTAAAAAAACCCACTGCTTTTCAGAGTAGAATATCATGGGAGGAGCAGTTTTTCTCTCAACACGCAAATATGGGGAATGTCTGAAAAGACTAGATAACACTTCATTGGGCTTCTTTAGCTTGAAGAAAATGTGGTTAATCTCAAAAAAAAAAAGCCATGAAAACAAGATTACAAGGTTTGAAACCAGGATCTGAAAAAAAATGGTAGCGGGTTGGGGATTTGTAAACCTGCAGAAAATCAGGTAGAATAGTAAATGATTGACTTTATCTAACACCAGTAATCAGGTACAAAGTGTTTTGCGTGTATTAACAAAGGGATAGGAAAGAGGAGGTAGGATTTAGGTTGGAAAGAAAATGAATTCTTGTAATAAGAGGATGATAAACATGGGCCTGTAGACTTTTCAGCTATGAGAAATCCCGCCTTACTGAGGATGGTTTTTCATGATAAGGGTTGCTGCCTGGATTTGCACTAGTGCCTTCCTGGACTCACTCCCGCCCTCCTCTAATCTGCTCTCCTGCTGTTCTGAAGCCATCTTTCTCAAGCTCAAACCTGAGCTGGTCACCACCCCCTCCCCCAGCACACACACAGCTCACCAGGGCCCTGCTCAACTCTTCAGTGGTCTCCCGTTACTTTCAAGTTTACAGTGCAGAACAAGCCTGGCCTGGCCTTCATGGTGTGATCCATTTCTGACCATGCTCTCTCCTTGGCCTCAGGCTGTACTTTCCTCTCTTTCACCAGTTAACTCCTTCTTTTACTCCTGGAATTATCACCTTCCTCAGTCTGGCTAAATCCCCTATTAATTACTCTCAGAGTTCCCTGATCTTCTGCTTGGTAGGTGGTTTATATGTATTTGATTACATTTGATTGTTTGTCTTCCTCCACCAGACTGCAAGCTCTTGAGACCAGGAAGCAGGTATTTCTAATCCCACCATGTATCTGGCACAGAGTCAGTCCTCAATGTGTTGAAAGAATGAGTAATTGAGTAAGAAGCCTTGCCTATTATACGTGTAACAATTAGCAGCCTTTCTGAGCTATTCTCCCTTCAACTCTATGATCCTATGAGATCAAAGTGACTTTATTCCCTGAAGAATAAATATACTTAAAAGGACAGTGCTTATTGGTATGGTGTTTACAGTTCCACACTGTGCAGACTAACTTGCTATTTCCTCCAGGGACGTGACAACGAAGACTTTTCAGTTGGGCGGAAAGGTGATACCGTAAACGGTAGCAGTCATGTGCAATACTTGAGTATTTACTATTAATACGGCCTTGCTTATATTCATTTACTTTCAAAAAGATCTTGCTTGTGCTTTGGATCCAACGGTCACCTAACGTCTGCACCATGAAACCATTCTGCGTCTGCTCCTGATGATGAGCACAACGCAAAAGACATCATTGGGTGGAATTGGTCAAAAATTTTTCACGGAAGGCCCACTCCTGCAAAATACCCCAAGTAATTTTGTTGGAAAGGGCCCAGCTTTGTCATTTCCTTTCTCAGAAGCTTACAAGCTTCTGAAACGTGTATTCCAAGAGCACTAGAATCTTACCGTGCTGAACACCCACGGTGCTGATGATGTTGCCTGATTATAAAAAAAAAAATCACCTGAAGGAAATTGAAAGGGCTCTTCTTTTCACGATCAATGCAGACCATCAAAGGTGGTCTCGCATGCCCACCAGCAGGAAAAACCCTGACAGCAATAATTGAGTCTCAGTACGTTCTTTTTAGTGTGGCTATTTATGGCAGGCAAAGAATTCCTGCGACATAAGGGTTTTACAAATAGCTTCAATTGTCAGTTAAGCCAGGGGCCATTTCTAGATGCCATCTTTAACAAAACAGATACTAGGAAAGTGAGCAGTGTCCACAATTACCATGTAGGTGACAAAATAAAGCAAAATACAGCAAAAGAGATGGATTCTAGGAAGACCTACTATTAAACACAACACCCTTTTGGATGCCCAGGAATTTAGGTTCTACAGGAAAACACTAACTACTAAGTCATACAAAGGAACAATCCGGAAACTACATGAAGGAAATTGGAAAGTCATTGGAAACTACATGATCATCAAGACATGCGTTAAACTCACTCACTGGTTAACCTTTTCATCTAGTATGACTAGTTAGGAGTATGTCTAACTCCACACACCTCTCTATCTCTGAAAGTTATGCTTTCTATTTTCACCTTAACTTTCACAGCACAGCATTTTGGTTTCATATTTCAAAACACTGGTAAGTGTAATTACCCCTGTGAAGCAGCATCAGTCACACTGTCCGTTAGCTTTACAATTAAAACAGAAGGCCTTCTTCCCCATTTTAACAGAGTGAGAAAATATTTCTTCATTTTGATTGGAAAATAAACCAGGACAATGAAAAAGAAAATATTGATTGCTATGCAGAAAATTCTCCTCAAAAAAAAAATTTAGTCTTTTACTGAAGATTTTTCTGATTGTCAGAGGTGTGCTAAGCATTTTGCATTTATGTTGCCCACTCCATGAGGTATGCCTCTTTAAAGATGAGTAAACTGAGGCTTAAAAAAAGGTTAAGGAACGGGCCCAAGATCACACAGTTAGGAAGTGATGAAGCTCTTGGCTTGGTAGGTTTTGCTTTATTACCAGGGTTTCATCCCATGCATGCAGCTCAAACTTTCATGTGCACTCAGATTAGCTGGGGATCTTGTTAAATGCACGTTCTGACTCGGTAGGTCTAGGGGTGGGATCTGAGACTCTGCATTTCTAATATGCTCCCCAGTGGTGATGAGCCAGCTGGTCCATGGACCACACTTTGAGTAACAAGACACTATACTACTGAAAAACCATAATTCCTTCTCTTTCAACAGAATAGTATGATACTTCATCAAGTTGGGAGCCAGACACTCACTTGATTACTTGACCCTGATATATTTGAGACAACACGAAGACAAGAAAGATATCAACCCAGAAGCAATAGTGGTTATGGAATGCATACATTTCCATGTATTTTTACAGTAAAAATGCATTAAAAAATCTTTCACAAAAGAAACTTAAAAAATACAAGTAGGGTGTTGAGTTCTCCCCCCAACATTCTTTCAGGCATCAACTGTGTAATGGGTGGGAGGGGAATTCCTCAATGGTTTGATTTAATCATACAAAATACTCATCCATCATCTTTCATCAAGACATTTACATGAAGTGGGGGATTAGGGAAAGTAGGCTCACAAGAATCAGTCTCCAATTTAAGGTTACAGTAGTTCAGAGAAAACTCTATCTTTCTGCTTAATGCATAGTCCCTGTACAGTACAATATTTCCAAAGCAAATCTGATGCGTGGCAATCAGATGAAACTGCCACACCAAAAGTCTTCAAGGACTGAGCCAAGCCCAGATGAGTAGCACATAGATTTTAAAATGTCAAATATCCTCTCTGACAACAAGAAAGACGTCAAGATGTTAACTTCACGATGTACTCCAAAAATCCACCTTGATTTCATTTATCTAAAACTCTGGACCACAATGAGAGCATCGATCATTTAACATCACAGATTTTGCTAAAAACAGTGAGACAATTCCTAGCAGTGAAGCCGTGAGAATAAAATCCCCAAGTCGGCTCTTAGGAAATCAATGAAAAAGAACATCATTATTCAGTTGTATTCTCTCTCAGCCTTACTACTACAGCTCCACGTATGCTTTGTATGGAAAACTTGAATAACAAAAATAGCCGTCACAGACTTCCTCCTTTTTTAGCTATAGAATGTACATTGTGTCTGTTCCAGGAAAGGAACTTGCTTTGTGCATGTCCAGACAACTACAGCTACTCATTCTAATGTTATGTATAAACCCATAAGTCAAATAAAGCTATGAACGATGTAATATTTATATATGCATAGTGTTTTATAAAAAGATTGGCCCACATACTGCTTTTCATCAATACAGAAAGAGCATTAAGTCCATAGCACACTGCAAGAAATGAGTGAAGAACAGAGAACGCCAACAAGTGCTCAATAACTCACTAGCAGGCTCACCACGGAGGAAATGAGGATATGCAAACCAACTAAAGCTTTAGAGAATCACTTATATAGTCTCCCATTTTAAAACAGCTTTACATACCTGATTTAGTTTACATTAAAATATATCCCACTGAATCAATTTGTTCCATATTCAGAAATATAAACACATATCACATTTCTCACAGCTAAATTTTTTGTCATAAATTCTCTTTTATACAAGAAAAAAAGGCAACAGTTGTTTTTTTTTTTAAACAGGCTCTATTAATTACAATTTTTAACTCTGTACACACAATGATTGGCTGGTTTTCTCCGTTTGCTTTTTTTTCCTTTTTCCTTTTTTTTTTTTTAAACAGTACCATGAGAACAACAGTGATTGACTTGCAAAGTTTTGTGTCTGTATGGAAAATGCAAAACAGTACTACAGAAATACACAATGCACTGTAAGCAGCGGTTTGCTGTAGTGGTCCAACAGGTACAAGCAAACGTTTTGGCTCAGCTAGGCAGTAATCCATTTCAACCACATCCCGGGGCTACAGCCGACCCAACCACACCTTCTGCGGGATTGCAAAAGAAGGAGTCTTTTTAAAAAGACAAATCACTCCGTTTTGTTCTGCTGTCCAAAGACTCAAAGGACAGGGTCATGAGGGCAGAGGTTTGCCAACTAGATCTAGAACCACTGGGATTGCATCCTTCTTTCCCCTTCAATCATCATGGAGACTTTTATTATGGATTCAAAGGGAAATTGGCATTTCTAAGAATAAGCATCCCCAACCCTCACTTCTTTAAATATCAATAGAGAGGTATCTTCCACTACAGCTCATTCCCTCCTCCTCAGTTTGGCAAAGGGCAACCTGGGGCTTATGCTAACAAGGGGGAACATACTTTCCATATTGGGGATTCTTCCGGCTCCCTCACATTGGGCACACTGTCCCTCATTCCATCTACTATTCGGTCTCAAATCAGACAAGATAACATAGAAGATACGCGTTGTCCATTCCTTCTAGTAGTTGAGCAAAGCTGTGATGGCACTGCCTTAATGAGATCTTATTAGATGTTGGTGATGCTAATGAACCTAACCAACTGTGCTTGGGCTGCATTTGGGTAACGGAGGCCAACTTTCTCCTCTGCACCTTTAGGCGACGAGGGAGAGTACCAACTATTTTCTAAACCGTCTATAACTCAAGAAGCTAACATTGCTTTGTGCTGTGTAGTTTAGCTATAAATATCCTTCATTTGCAATAGTAGTCTCTTCACACAGTTTGCTTAATTTTAGGATCATTGACAATCCTAACCCATCCCAAAGAGTCCTCAGCTTTCACAAATAGAACTTTTGCCTTTTTGCTCCTTTTCTTTTTTAAGAAAAACTCCTAAGTACAGTACAGCACTACATCACTACATAACAGTCTACATCAAATTAAACTTAGTAATTTCCCTTACGTAGAGAAAATGATCAACAGCCCCATTTAACCAGGAGAGAAAAAGATTGCCCCAAAAAGGGAACAATTCTTGACAATTCTACAGTTTATGTAGAAACAAAATTTATATCCCTTTGGGGCAGCATTTGGCAAATAATTTCCAAAAAAGTATGCATTTAAAAATACTTTCTTTAATATTATACATCAGGCACAACACTTTTCATATATATTTTTTTCTTATAAGATTTCAAATCATAAAATGTTTGTTGCTATTCATAGGATTATCAGGTGTCAGATGCTTCATTAGGTAAGAAACTAAATTATTTCAAGTTTGTGACCTTCCTTTTAGAACCTTTGACACGGTAAAGGTTGGAATGTGATTCAGAGTCTCAGATACTGAGGTCGGTGCTACATTCTTTATAAGGTCGCCTTCTCTGCTCCGGGGGATGTCTGGAACTTCTGCCGGCATCCTGTTTCAGACTCGTCTCTTCCCTTTCTCGGTGGCTGACTTTGTCCTCTCTGTTCCTTTTCTCAAGTGACCGCTCTCGCCTCCGCTCGGGGGACCTTGCTCGCCTCCGGTCGGTTGATTTTGCTCTCCTTTCAGGCGAGCTCCCTCTCCTTCGCTCTGGAGACCTTCTCTGATCCAAGAGTCTTTCGAGAGACCTCCTCCGACGGCTGGGAGAGCTGTCTCTTCTGCGGGTCGGTGACCGCTCTCGCCTCCTCTCAGGAGAAATCTCTCTTCTCTTCTCATGCTTCTCCCTCCTCTCCAAAGTATTGTCAGCACTCCGGGTGCCTTCCCTCCGCTTCTCTGGAGATCTCCTCTTGGGGCCATTGGTCACCATCCGCTCAGGCTGTGCATCTCTTCGTCCCTCCAGTGCCCGGTCCTTGGGTCGGCATGCCCCACTGTCGGGTTTTCTAGAAGTTCCATTCCATGTGTGATGTTCATTGGGTTGTCTGTTATACTCTCTGCTGCTTTTTGGATCTTTCACGTGTGCCCGCTTTTCCCCATGTTGTGATGATTTGTGAAGATCGGGTGGATAACTGGACTCCAATGATGGATGCTGTCGGCGGTCGGATGGCCCGGCCCTCACTTCCGGAACACCTTGTGGACCGGCGGGGGGGCCGTTCCGGTCGCTGCTGGGGTCTGCGGGGAAAATAAATGAGAGCAACAGTTTGGTACAAAGGACCTTCAGCTCCTGTCCCCACTCCCACACCTGAGATCTCATTAGTCACAACACACACACAACTGTTAAAAGCAGTCAGAATCAAAGCCAACTGAATCTTGGTTAAGTATAACCGCAACTAGTTAGGGTTAAAAACTAGTGTTTGTGGCTTTCAGGATCTAGCCTACTGTTCTCTATACTCAAGACATGGATCATTAAAGAACTTATAACATCAGTCATGACTTACTTTAGTCTTTAAGGACACAACACAAATAGTCTGTCTAGAAGTATCAAAACTTCCTCGCCTTAACTACCCCTTGTTTTTCTTTTCCCAGCCACCCACCCTTCTCTGCGGCCCACCCCTCCTCCAGCCCCATGAAAAAAAATATTCTTTCCTTTAAAAGATACTTGTTTTGATTTGCTTAAAAATAATCTAGTCTATTTACTTGGAGGAACATGAGGGAACTTTCTGGGGGAATGGAAATAGTCTACGTCTTGATCTGGATGGTGATTAAATGGGTGTACACGATGGTAAAAATTCACTGCACTGTATACTAAGGCTTTATGCATTTTCCTCTATTCAAAATATACTTCTATTTAAAAAAAATCACCCAGAGAGGTGGGCAAAGGGGATTACAGAAGCAACATGTTGGCCAGATGTTGATAATTTAGTAGTTGGCCAATGTGATGTATGTGCGGGTCCATGAAACATTCTCTCTACCTTTGTGCATGTAATTCAACTATTTTTTCTAATTTTGTGTAAGTTTAAGGAGCTCTTTTTAAAATGTGGAATCTTCTGACAGATAAAAGGGAGTGGAAGGGAGGTTATCAGGTACACATTTGACAATTAGATGGGGTTCACATAAAGTCTTCAAGTTTAGAGGCACTTTTCTTTATGCTACACAAAGCAGCCATAATTACATCTATGAGCTGTGCAGATGCTGGACTGCTTCTTACAAGATATCTACAGATTTAAAAGCAAGGCAGCTTTTTGGGCTCCTATTTATTATTAAACTATTTGAAATGACACTGAAAATGTTTATGTAGCATCTTGAATTTACGAAAGCTCTTTTCAAAACAGGGATGCCAACAAGTCATACACTTTATACCATTGCAGGCAAGGCACCTGAAATGACGTGCTGCAGCGTGGAGCACAAAACAGGGTGACAGTCACAGCGTGAAGGAGGTGTGAAGTGGGTGCTCTTTAAGGATCTTTCATGGGGCAACAAAATCAACATTAAGCAATTAATCTGTTTCATGAATGATCTCCCAAAACCTTGGGTGGGTTTAACTAAAGCAGGAATATAGCCCAGAGCAGGGGTCGGCAAACTTTTTCTGTAAAAGGCCAAAGAGTAAATATTTTTGGCTTTAAGGATCACACAGTTTGTTACAACTGCTCAACTCTGCCACTGTAGTGTAAATGCAGCCTTAGACAACACAGAAAAGAAATGGGCGTGGCTATGTGCTAATAAAACTTTACTTACAAAAACAGGCTGTGGACAGGGTGTGGCCTGTGCTGTGGTTTGCCAAGAGATAAGGGTCCAGCAGTAAACCTCATCTTCCTGGCTAGCCAAGCCCTATCTGCCTGGGTGAGAGCTCTGTGATAAGAGCTTTATTCTTTCTGAATGCTGGCTACTAAAATTAACACAAACAGGTTCTTACAAGGTCTTCTTAAGATTCGGGTGAAAGAAGGTACTTAGATCACTATCATAAGTCTAACCCGGGGGTGTCTTACACCTACTTTTAAGATAAGGGACAGCAAGACTTCAACAGGGTCAGCAGTGTACTTACAATTCAAAGAACGCAGGGTGCTCAGAATGAATTGCCAAACATATCAAAATAGAGCTAAGCAGAAGCAATGAGGAAATTAGGCCACAGCACAGAAACACCTAGTATTGATTGAGCTACAAACCGTAGTTTGATTATGGCCCATAAGGTAGAAGCAAGCCTCCCCGAGCTTTTCATTTCTCATACATGCAGCGATATTAGGAGGTATCATCGCTGTAGAAGGGAGGGCCCAGCACCAAGAACAGTCAGAGAGAAAGAGAAAGAGAGAAAGAGAAAAAGTTGAACGTTTAGATTCCCTATAACAACGAGGAAAGAAAAAAAAATCTGCATTTGTTAACATAGGGCAAAGAGAGTTTATTTGTCCAGTCAGACAGTCTAAGGCAACACTCAAATAAGGCTGCAGAGACCGCAATCAGAACAGTGACGTTTCAGACAGCCATAGAAGGTGACTCGAGAACCCAGACAATGGATGCATCCTTTTATCTTTCTTTTTTTTTTTTTTCAAACAACTGGAACAATGACAGGCTGGCATAGGAGAGCATTAACAATAAACAACAAAAGAACAAAGTTCCCTCCCTCCCTCCCCGCACCACCCCCCCCCGAAGACCGTGGCAGTTAAATTAAGTACAAAAAACTCATTACAAAAATAGCCTCACAGAGAAGCAGGTTCCAATCAAGTAAGAAAAATATTGGAACTTAACATATTATAACCCATTTGTGACTCTAATCAATAGAATTAGAGAGATTTAGTCCAAATGACACATGGAGACATTACAGCAGCACAACTCTGGCATGTTCAAACCTTCTTGGAAAACCAAGTATTTAAATGATCTTTATTTTTAGCCCAAAGAACATTTGTTAGTGTTGGATTTTCATCCTCAGTGCAACAGACATAGGTTTTGAGAAGGTACACAGGTTACTGACGATGACTCTCAAATGAAATATCACATCCGACAGAAGCATAGGGAAGACAGAAAAGGGAGACAATGTTACACAGTTTCAGTGGCATCGATACACCTATCAGAGGTTTAGTACAGTGCACAGCTGCAACATATTAATGTAGTCAAAACACCTCCCTGTGGTTGGTCATGTCTTAAGGGGCCTCATCTGATACCCACCCACCCCCCACCTTGGGCCCCTCATATTTTGCACCTGTATGAATGTCCAACACCTGGGAAGGCTGTCCTTCAAAGGAGTTATCTTTCTCCTTCAGCTGCATCTGAATTAAGAATCTCGTCAAATCCAAAATGCAACTGGGAATTGTGCAGAATGACTTTCAAAAAAGAGGGTGATAACAGATAAATCCCTAATAAAGGGGACCAACGTATATGGGGACCATTCAATCACAGTTTCTATAGAAACTTTTGTAGACCTTTGGTTGGGAAGAAAAGCCCTACATCTAGGGCATAGCTTTTTTTAAAATTTTAATTTTAAACAAGAATTCTCAAATAAATAGGACATCATTATTATAATATACAATATTTTGCCATCAGAACACTAAGCTAGGTAAAGATCATTGCTGTTTACTCAAATCACGTCCATAGGTATGACAAAGGAAGTCTATGTATAACCTGGCTTTCCCCATAGGAAAGGTAAAGTAACATGCTTCCCTCATGATGAGCACTGGGAATCTAGTTCATCCTTTATCATTTAAAAACATATGGCTAATAATCAACAGTTTTGTTTGTTTTATAGTAGTGGGCTCAGGTGGTCTGATTTGGGGGAGCGACCAGTGACGGGATGCAGAAGTATTGTATACAGTGTAAAGCAGGTGAGCAAGGCCCCCAAATCATCTCAAAAGCTCACGCCTCTTAAATAAAGACATCAAGTAACCAAAAAAGAAAGCAAAAGAATTGTGCCTCAATATATCACTCAGGAAACCTGCTTTCCTGCTTCTTAAAAGGAGTATAGTCATTTTGTGCTAACAAGTGGATCTGAGAAACAGTTTGGCACAGTTCAAACAAACATTCCTTCGCTCTTGGTCGGACTAGACAAAATGTTCTCTCTGATTATCAGAAAGGGGGCTATAAAGATCTCGTCTTAGCCATGCCCCAGTCCACGTAAGCAAGCAAAAGGATGAAATGTGTAGAGATTTCAGAACAAGCGAGGCAAATAATCATATGGTGCGAGAGGCTGGTAAGACACTGGTGAATAGGGGAAACAAAAAGACTTTCCTGCTGCAGTTCTGGAGACAAAGTCATGGAGTCATGCCAGGGAAGGAAGGAATGTTTTCATAGTTTGACCCACCATATTCTGGTACCGAGCCATCTCCTCGCTTCAGAAACAGACGCACCCTGCGGCCACCATTCTTAATCAGTTCTATAGCCCGAGAATGCTTCATGTTTTTGGTGGTCTCCCCATTGATCTCTAAAATTTCATCACCAATCTGCCAAAGCAAGAGAGACCAAAGTGAGAAGATCACAAAAGGGTTTCACCAGCCATTGCGGTGCTTTATGATTTAAAATTCTTTCATTTATTGATTCACCAAATATTTATTGAGCATCTTCCAGAAAATCTATTGCTTAAGATGCCGCAGAGAAAAAAACAAAGCCCTCTCCCCTCATGGAGATGACATTCTAATGGAAGAAAGACAAGTAAATCAGAAAAATACATACATGCTAGCTAGTATAAGCTAAGGAAAAAAATCCAGCAGTATGGGGAATATTAATTGTGGAGGGAAGGAGGATGTGGTAGGCAGCTTTCAGGATGGCCCCCATGAGCCCTACCTCCTTGTGCTTACATCCTGTCTAATCACCTTCCCTTTTGAATGTGGGCTGAAATTAGTGACTTGCTTCTCATAAACAGAATATGGCAAATGTGATGAGAAGTCAGTTCAAAGATAAGGTTACACAATAATTTTGGCTTCTGTCTTACTTGCCCTCTTTTGTTCTCTCACCTATTCACTCTGAAGCATGCTTGTGAGCTGCCCTACAGAGTTCATGATAGGAAATGAGGGCGGGCCTGGGCCAACAGCCCAAGAGGCACTGAATCCTGCCAACAACACTGTGTGTGAGCTTAGAAGCAAATCCTTCCCCAGGTGAGCCTTCAGATGACACCACGATCCCAGCTGATAAGCTGACTGCAGCATTTCCTGTGTGTCAGCTACTATTCTAGGCACTGGAGATTAAGGAGTAAACAAGACACGTCAGATCCTTGCTCTCAAGGAGCTTATCTTCTAGAAGGCAGAAAAGGAAAAGCACTGGCTTTGGAGTCTAAGGTCTTGAATGTAAGTCCTATCACTTGTTAGCTAAGTGATCTTGTTCAAGTCTTCTAAGTTCTTGGAGTTCACATCCTCATCTGTAGAAGGGGATGATAACTACCCATGTTTACCAAGCTGAGGGGGTCAAATCGGATAATACATGTCAATGTGTCCTGTGAACTATACAGCACTATACAAACTATAATGATAATGGTATTTCATTCAATCGGAAACTATTTTAAGTGAGTAAAGACACATTTATGGTCTACTTTCTCAATTAAAAAAAGTTCATTAAAAGATTCAATCTGAAGAAACTTAAAAGTCAAGGTTGTGTCTTAAGTACAAGTATTAAGTTCCTTCCCCACACTTGGTACTTTTTTCCTCTTTCTGCTCTGGACCAATTTCATTCACTTTTTTCCTTTCCTGACCTGACCATATTGATTTCTTTTAATTCACTGCAAATTGCTCCCTATGTGTACGTCTCAATCTATGTGACCTATCTATAATGAGCAGAAGATTTTTCTTTTTTTCATCATCTAATCTGCCCAGGAGAGCAACACATTTGTACACAGTAACAGATACCTAAACAGAGCAGAATGGACTTTTGCTGTTTGTATATTTAAAATTTGCAGCTTTGGCTACTACAGAGCCACCTTGAATACGCACGCCATGGAGTAGCTGGCCCTCTGCTGAGGCAGAGCTGACTCGCTCCTGAGAGCAGGGTAATGACTGGCGACTAGCTAGAGACTGAATGGCGTTCACCGCCCAGAACCTACAGAACTACACAGCTTTCCTGCTCTCTAAGCATCCTGATACACCCAGGAATTCCTATGAAGTGATGTGCCTGCCTCAGGAGATGATGTACAAGAACTATGAAAAGGGGATTCAGAAAATACCTACTTTAATAAATTTATAAGTAATTTTAATCCTTCATTTAACCCCAAAGAGTTGGAAGGTCTCACCTAACCTTCGCAGCTACAGCTAACTATGCTTTAGGGAGAACTTTATGCTACGGTGGGAGGCATGCATTTAGGGCACCCTGAAGCTGTAGAAAATGCTATTCTCATGAACATGACGGTTACAGCCATTTAATGTCAAAAAGTCACTGCAGACAATTTATTTACATCTATTCCAGACTCCTCTTCCTACTTACCCGCATCTTTCCACACCTTTCTGCAGGACCATCCTCTGCTAAGCGCAGAACATAGAGGTCCATGTTATACTCTCGGCCCCCTCGAAGACTGAAGCCAAATCCCTTGGCTCCTCTTTCCAGTTCCACAGTGTAAAAATCTTGCTCCTATTGAAAGAAATTAAATGCAATCATTCTGGGAGAGCTTATAGCCACACGATTTCTCTCCATCTTTTCCCAAACATTCTCTATTATGCTGATTTGACAAAAAGACACAGTATCCCCCTCTTAGTGATTCTCAATTGTTTATTAATATTCATTAACCTTAGAAGTTTGGAGATCCAGAATTTGAAAACATTCATGAGTGTGCCTACAGACTGCACACCAACATGCATATACTAAAATTTAATCAGTGAGGCTGCAATTAGTATTTGCAGCAGGAAAATTCTTCATTACAGGATACCATCCTGCACATTGCTGGATGTTCAGCTTCCCTGCCCTACCCCCAGAAAACGCCAGCAGTGCCCATCATTTGGATATCAGCAACAATCTCCACACATCTGGGGAGTGGTTCATAGAGTAGAGGTGAGTAGAATCATGAATGGATTACTGAGGGCTCTGAGAAGGCCAGTATAAAATGAACCTATGTAACTTCACACCATCCAACGTTTCCCAAATTTGCTTCACCTGCTATTATTTGCGCACCCTCTATTACTACTCTGCGGGACAGGTACTCAGCTCTACGTGTCTCACCTGAAATTCAAGTCTGAGAAACACCTTAACAAAAAGACATTTTCCTGGCATAAATACGTTTATGAATACCATGAGTAGATGTTAGCTGTTTTGTTCCGTCTCTGATCACCAAACCTTGAGACAATGATGGCTTTTTATTTTGTTTGTTTTTCCCCCTAGAAAAGGATATCTAGGAATATTCTTCAAAGGTAGCAAAAATAAAATGTCATTTCCTAGACAACCAAATGTGAGTACGTATTTAGTATATTCCCTCACAAAAGGTTATTTATTTTAATTGAGTGTACTGTATAAAAGCTATCTTGTAAAATAGCTTCAGAAAGTTGGAAGGAAATGTACAAAAGCAAACAGAGAGAAAAGAGAAATGGTCCTCACCTGTGTTGCCTGGGGTGCTTTGAACTCAAACTGAGATTCCGGCTTTGGTTTGGTGGTACTCCTGCCAAAGCAAGAGAAGTTACTGTAAGAGCAACCCAGGAGAAACTCAGACAGAATCAAGGATGAGTATCGTCATGCCAGGAGTCACCTTTTTCCCTTTAAGTTAACAAAAAAAAACCAAAGCCATGTCTGACCTGGTCTCCTGGGGCCCCTGCTGAGAAGGGGTGTGTGTGGTGGTGATGGTGGCAATCTTCTCCGCATTGGTCAGCAAAGTGGCATTCGAAGACTCTGCAGGGTGAGACAGAGCATAATGAAATGAGGGCCCCAGAGAAGACATCATCAAACTAGGAGGTATGCCAAAGTCCCAAATTTGAATGACAAGTCTGGCTTCCCTGTCACCGTTTCAGGCAGTTCTGACTTGAATTTCTAAACAATTAAGAGTCTAAAGAACCATTCTAAGATCTTCTATGATGTGAGCCATGTATCTCCATAACCCTCCTCCCAACGAGACATCCCCACAAATGAAATAGAGTTTGTCTAAGAAAATGCCACTCTAAACTTGTAGCCAAGGTAGATGTCTCTCACTCCTCCCCCGCCACTTAGAAACAGGAGTCCCTTCCAAACACTGCACCACACCAGTACTACTACTCAGAATTTTATAGGCTGATAATAAATGTCTCTGCTAACGTTCCCGCAATTTATCAGCAATATTTCGTGAGTCTGCTTGATTTCCTCATGTGAATATTAAAATCAGAAGTGTGCTAACATCTTGTTAAATATACACACACCATCTACTTTCTTCCCCATTGCTTTTAAAGAAGCACAATCAAAAATGTGGAATTCTTGACAGGTCTCTTCTAGTATCACTCATGAAAAATTAATTTTAAAACTTGCATTAGCTAGAGTCAGAGTTTGTAAATATAAGTTGTATAAATCGTGAAGCCACCCTAATGTAATGAATATGATTATATTCTTATGTAAATTGACTTTCTTCCCCACTAACCACATTCATAAGCAACTTCATTAATCTCTAGTAGTTTGGAGATCTAGAATTTGAAAATACTCATGAGCATGCCCATAGACTGCACACCAACATGCATATATTAAAATTTAATCATTCATATAGTAATGGTTTTATGTTCTTTTATTAATTATCTCTCCATCAAGATCAAGGCAGATAGCAAGCAACTATGAGCAAGTTGCCCTTTTAATATTTATTTTTAGGTTGACTGTTTGAAACCTGGCATAAATTTTCTAATCATGAAAATGCTAAATGTGGTTAGGTTCTAAGATTAGCCTATAAATGCTCATTTAATTCATAGTGTGCTATGAAGTCTAGAAGTTTCTAGGAGTCCTATGGTTCACAGTAGGCATTCTAATGTTTGTTGAATACATGTATCTACCCACTACGTATAACAGAGTTTCTATGGGAAAAAATGTTAAGTGTTCCTAACTGGGATACCTGGAATCCATCTCTGTCCAGGGCAGTCCAGGGTGATAAGACATCCCACAAATTTCAGTTACTTGTAGTGTATCTTCCACTTTAATTTCCTAAGGATATCACTTAGCTTGGGTCGGGCTTCCTTTTATTTTAATTTCATTACACATAGCTCTTAAAAGCATGGGCCTGAGATTCAGACCGGGGTTCAAATCCCTCTTCCCCTGCCTCATTTCCTCATCTGATAGGAGGGGATGGTGACAGGAATTCCCTTCTCTTGGATAAAAGTGTAGGAAACGTCTAGCGTAGTACCTGACCTAGAGAGAGCACTTAACACAGATTGACTGCACCACGGCCCTTGCTACTACTCGTGCATTTTATTACTGTTGGAACTTGTCTAAGTTATTGAAACTTTGCAAAATGAGAAAGTTGAAATATGATTTTAACAGTCTATATGCCAGCAATAAAGCCCATGGTTCTTATAGCTAAGGCACAAGATTAATTAGAAAACGTAACTAGATCAAGTGAACTGTAATGTGAATCCAATTCCTGCTTTAGGACCACGTTTCCCACAATCTGTTTTACCAAATGTTTCTACAGATTCTGAGGGAAAAGGAACCTGTGGTCAATGAAGGGTGAGAAATAATAGGTGAAACAGAAGGAAATGTTTGTGAGTGTGTGTGTTTTGTTTTTCCCCTGGACTCCTCAGAGCCTTGACTATGCCAATAGGCCTTGTGACCCTCCAAGCAGGGGACCTGGTGCTTCTCAAGATAGGTGGTTGCGAGGTCATATTCTTGAGTCAGACCATCTGGCTTTGCATTCTAGGCTCTGCAATTTACTGGCTGGGATTTAAGCAAAGTTACTTTAAACTTTCTATGCCTCAGTTTCTTCCTCTGCATGTGGCAGATAAGCAGTATCTAACAAAATGGGTGCAAAGATTCTCTGAGAGGACAGTGTTTGGGATTGCACCTGGCACATAAGAACTGCTCAAAAATGATTAGCATATTTTTTATTGGTAGCATGTACTATTTTTATCACAATATTAAAAGCATATTATTAGTACATTTTTATGATTGCAGTTAACTGGCACAACCAAGGCGATAAATTTAAGTGATATTTCATAAAGTATGCCCACTGTGTCAGCACAAAGGGCTTAGAGACTGCACAGCCTGTCATTATGATTTGCCAGAAGTTTCCTAAACCCATGTATTGGTCCTTTAAAAAAACTTCAGATTGTTCAATGTAATTAATTTTATGGAGATGGCTCTGGGAAATCACAAGACTGTTTGGGCCATGGGGAAATCATAATCAGGATACCAAAAAGAACGTTTCTTTGTAATTAAAGTGATTGTAATGACTTAACTGGGCAGAGTTTCCCCTCCTTGAGTGTTCTTGTGTGTTTTTGGTAGCCAGAGTTTTCTAGGAAGATCAGATTCCATTTTCAAACAATTTTTATATTTCTGCTGCTTTCATGATTTGATATGACAGGTAATCACCAATACACATAGAAATAGAATTCTTTTATTAATTTCCCTCCTACTCTTCACTTGCTATTTTTCACATATTTATATGTAAATCTGTTTTGAGTTGAAGCTTAACTTTAAGCATTTTAAAAATGAACATGTAACATGAAAATACCCTATTTCAGGTCCCTGAACTTTCCTCCTTTCATTGTTTTCCTTAATCTATGAACAACCACCATTTCTTGATCATTCATGACATGCCAAACACTTTGCTAAGTGCACTACCACATGCACTGTTTCATTTAATTCTTACAACTCAGTGAAATAAGTGGAATTATTACCCCCATTTTACAGATGGAGACACTGAGGCTTAGAAAAGCTAAGTAACACGTCCCAAGCCATCCGGAGAGTAAGTAGAGGCACTGGGAATTAAACTCAGCGCCTGCTTAACAATTAACTTTTAGTCTTACCCTGTTTACAAGGGAATTATGTGTCGGTATCAAGGAATCATATCTAATTGGTATGTTCCTTTCAAATAAGCAGTGCTTTTATTTTACTGCACAAATACCACCAACTTCACTAAGCACTGTCACAGATTAACTAAAATACAAAATACCCTGCTTTCACTGTATGTGCTGAAGTTCTAATTTTTTAAAATACAGACATGGAGCCCATTATTACAAATTTATAGCTCTATCTCAAAGCAAAATTTGCCCCATATGACAGAAAAAACAAGAAGAAGGGCCGGATGTAAAGAGCATAATCCAGCAGTGGTATTATGAATGGATATCAACGTATTTGACTTTTAAAACTCAAAGGCAGATGGAGAGATTGGCTGTTTCTATGATAAATTCCAGAAAGTGCCCTACATCCTTTATTAAACAGTGCTTACACCTATTTTAGCTCCCCCAGAGGAATGAACACGGATAGGACTACACTTTCCATAGCAATCGTGTATCAAGAAAAGCACAGCCCAGCTCTCAAGGCGCTGTCACAGTGCTGTGCTAAATCAGGGCACTAACTTCTGACAGGAGCTTCTATCTTGGGTTTCAACATATCTCCGTGACAAGTGATTACAATTCTAACCTTGCGTCCATGTTAATATCCTTAGCCTCCCTTACAGAATCCACACTACAAAGCCAAGCAAATCAACAAAGGATACAATCATTCCTCTCATAAATATTTTAACACCTAAACACATATGTAATAAATACCTGAAGGAGGCGTTTGGAAATTTGAATCCCATAAATATTTGACAAGTTTGGGGAGATGTTTTAAATGTGTATGGTTGAAACCTTGTTCCTTTTGCCCGAATATATGCTATTACATCCACAGAGCCTTAGATTAAGAAACTTAAATTTGTACTATTCTATGCCTTGGCCAAGGAAATAGCAACATCTGTGTTGCCAAGCCCTACCTCCCACACAAGCAAATGCTTCGATTCAGAAATGTGAGGTACAAATTTAAGACCATAATTTAAATAATACATTTTTAAGTTCATAAATATTTTCATTATCTTGAACTTGATTCAATTTCATGGTTCCTTGTTAGCCTGGCTCAGTCAGGGTCTGCCCCATCTGATTCAAGTCTCCCTCCTGCCCAGACTTCACAGGGTATTTCTATACAACACAGGGGATAGGCAGCATGTGTGATGTGACTTGTAAAATTTCAAGTTCAAATTTAATATGTTCAGCTATTCTCTGGACCTTTCTGTGCTGCCATTATATATTTACTATCCTTTGCCTATATCTCATAGGAGAAGAGGTTCTGCCCTCACTTTACCTCCCACCCTGGTCCAAAAAATGGTAAAAACCAAGATGCTGAAGACTCCCTTGATCCAGTCCTGTCCAAGATCTGGGAAGGTAGGCTTTCAAACAACACAATAATGCCAAATAAAGGAGAGTCCTATTTTGGAGCTTTTGTTGAAGGGGTTTGGCAGAGAAAGAGCGAAATGGGAGACGTGGAGTGAGGGAAACTATAGATCAAGATAAGTGAAGATGGAGAAAGAATGAGGTGACCGATGACAAGAAAAAAGAATTAGGCAGCGTAGGGGGCCGGCCCCATGGCCGAGTGGTTGGGTTCGCGTGCTCCACTTCAGCGGCCCAGGGTTTTGCCGGTTCGGATCCCAGGTGCGGACATGGCACCACTCATCAGGCCATGCTGAGGCAGCATCCCACATAGCACAACCAGGGGTGCTCACAACTAGAATATACAACTGTGTACCGGGGGGCTTTGAGGAAAAAAGAAAATAAGATTGGCAATAGATGTTAGCTCAGGTGCCAATCTTAAAAAAAAAAAAAAAGAAGAAGAATTAGGCAGCACAAACTAGATAAAACAGTGGATTCAGACTGGGATTCCAAGCACTGCCCAACCAAGAGAGTATCTTCCTGAATCAGTGCCTCCTAGAATTTCTGAGAACAGTACTCTAGACAAGATGGATTTAAGAGCTTAGAAACCATTCTTATTAAGAACTTCAGTCTCTTTGTGAGGACCACGTAACAAAGTGTCTTTGGGCTACTTGCTGAATTAAACATTAGAGAAAAAAATCCGAAGGAGACCAGAGGTCCCTAACACAGAGAGAGCACCTCCCTTTTACCCTACAATCTGTCACGTCCAACATGCTTTCAGAGAGAGCAAGTGGATCTAGCATGATTTTCTCTTTTTCAAATTGTAATGGTCACTCTGTCTTCTATCTGTTGGCAAAGTCCTCCTGGATCCCTCCAGCATCTCTCTAGAAATCTAACTCTCCTGCCTCAACTCTAATTTTCAAGACGGCAATTTTTGGCTCCATTTAAAAGATGAGCATCACAAATCCACCCTCTGCCGGACTTCATTCCCTTCACCTGGCCTTCAAAAATTACAAAGTAACTGATGAAGAGTTTTATTATCATGGCAATGAATTCCTGAAATACCTTGGGATAAAATCACATCCTCAGCAGCACATCAATCCTTAACTACGCTGTACCAACTTTAATGTTCACTTTCTTCCAACCAAGATTGTGTGTGATATGTCTATTTGACTTTTATATTTATGAAGTATTGAAGTTCAAAAAGTGTCTTTTTATTGACAACTGTTATTGGGTAATCCACCTTGCATTACATTTTTTGGCGTTCAGGTTTTCCAAAAATATTTTCTACTTCCTTAAATTAAGTCAACACCTAGTACATGCACAGTAGTATAAGTCGCTTCTTCATATTTATGTCTTTCGTGATTTCAGACTCTTTTCTAAGCCCCTCCCTCAAGAACTGCTTTCTTTCCTTTCTTCCTTTTATTTCTTATTCCCACATTAAGACTGACCAATATAGATCCAGCAAGCCAATTCCTACATCCAGTTCTGTTGGGTTAGTTTTTTGAAATCTCTCCATGGCATGTAGATAAATGTGTCTAAATTTATATACTACATTTGGCTCTCTCAACCATTTCTCACTTAATTTTTCTGGCTTCTTTCATCTTTTCCATTAGGAACCTATGTTCTATCACCTTGTGAACACTTTCCTAAACTGTAATAGCTTTCCGGAGTGGTGAACTGGTGGAATGGACTCCAGACCAGATGGTAAATTACTAACCGTGCATTGGAGGCAGGCTGGAGTAGACTATCATTCAAGCAGCTATTTTCCCCTCCACATTTGGTATGGAGTATTTCTGGTGTCGAGAAAGTTCTCCGTTCTTGGAACCAACAATTTTCAAATATTTATTGTTTGGTTTTGGACTTACTTTTTCTGAAAGGCACAGCTGACACCACTCATACTTTCAACGAATAAGGCTCACTTTCTAACAGTTAGTATATACAAATATTCATTTGATGAATTACTTTCAGATAAAATTTCTGATTTTCGTATTTTACAGATCAATGGCATAGAATTTTTATCACACCATCTCCACAAACCACATTTTCCTACTGAAAAATACTGACTTTTAGAATATATATTTTATTTTATTACATACATAGCAAGAATGAAAAAAAGACACTGAAACATTTTGGGATAAGTGTCTGTATCACTTTCCACCCAAGGGCAAAGTCTGCCTAGAAGAGAAGAGAGTCAATATCCAGGACTTAATTCTCTGAGGAATCTATATTTAGTGACATCAGGGTATCAACTTCGTTTGTATTAAACATGAACAATACGATGAGTATCGATATTTTTTGCCGTCTAACTTTTTATTGTGAAGGGCTGTCCTGTGTACTGCAGGATGTTTAGAAGCATCCCTGGCCTCTACTCACTAGATGCCATTAGCATTCACTCCAGACAATGCCAAATGTCCCCTGCAGGTCAGAATCACCACTGGTGTAAAAGAACCAAATATCTGAATTTAACCAAACAAACCAGAATACGACTAGTTTAATGTAGATATAAACCTATCAAAAATACAGAGATTTAATTCTTTCTTCACCCACATGCAAAGATTAGGGACAAACCCTACAACTCTCCCAGTAAATAAAAAAACTTGATACAGTCATTTATGCTAAAAAGACATAGTACTGGCTCTATGTTGTCATCACGTAGGTTTTATGATGTCACCATGTTATACAGTTAAATTTTAGGGATTGTTTAAAAAGATCATTAGTGATTTCCAGACAGAACATCAGGGGATCTTTACCACCTATATTCAAACTATTTTATTGTTTTAAAGATGAGGGCACCAAAACCAAAATGAATTGGGGAAAGTGGAAGATTTTCTGAAATGTTTCTTTCTGCCACAAGACAGGGTCACTGGGCTAGAGGATTAAGTAAAGAGGGTGAGGTAAGGTTTAGTAACAAGAGCTCACATTTGTTGGATGGGTATGTTCAGTTAGGGATGAATAAGGCTGCCTCTAAATCAACACTAATCAATTACATGAACACTAATTATAAAGAGAGAGACAGACAGAGAGAAAGATATAGAAAGAGACAGAGATAGAGAGAGACACAATAGATATACTTTACCATCCCCAGGAATGATGCGGAGGGTAACTGTGTTTCCCGCTTCCTTGATTAGGTTGACAATGTCTGAATGGGACTTGTTGGTGATGGAACATCCATTTACTGCCAAGATCCGGTCTCCTACTTTCAGCTTGCCACATCGGTCAGCAGGGCTCCCCTCAATAATCCGACCTATTTTGTGAGGCATAGCCACACATGCATTGCCTGCTTTGATATTGAGTTTTAATTTTTTTTTTTTAAGTTACGTGGGAATATAGTGAAGGGAGGAGAAAAAGGGTTGAAAAGGGAAAGAGAAGGTTAAGTGTTAATTAATTAAAGCATTAAGCAAATGTTATTAAAGGAGGGCTCTGCGCCGATGGTCAAAACATTGGCAATATTCAGGGCGTCTGTGTAAGAAGCTACTGCCCTGAAATGATAGCTCATTGCTGCAGTCCTTTCCTGATTCAAAATGAAAGGAAAACCCCAGCTTCCTGCCTTAAATCAATTACAAAATTTGGGATATTTAGCAACTTCAAAGATTCTCAAGAGCCCAAAAATAACTCGCCGTTGGCTTACTTTGGGACTGCAAATGTGAACTCCAGAGCTGGGATGGATGCTTTTATGCATTTTGTGTTCATGTCACTTCATTTTTTGCCAGCTGTTATTTAAGCTTCTGCCAATGTTTTGTTCTTTCTCCATTTAGAAAAATAATCACTGGGTGTCTGGTGAGGCATGAGACTCTGTAGCACCAAAAATTCAATCTGAAAACACCTAATGGACAAACACTTAGACTTTCTGCCTTCTATCCCGAATGATGGAAGCTTTAGAAAAAGGGCACAATTACAAGAGACGAGTCAAGAAAGCACCAACTTTGACACCTATTTTTCCTTTTACGACCTTCGCTCAATCAGCCTATTTCATGTGTTTTCAGGGTAGGGCCCAAATAGCTCACTAGCTCAGAAATCCTCCTCTTTCCTTACAAAAATCCCCTCAAAGGAATATGAACATCTAGTGCCTCCTTTGGCTGAGGACAGCGATCCAAAGCTAAGTTCCATTCATTCTTCAACCCTTTTCCTTTAATAATTTCCTTTCTCGTTATTAGCTACTACACAGCTACAACATGAAAAGCCAGGAAAACTGCTTTTGAAAAGAAAGGTTTATTGTGCACTTTGAGGCATTCCATGTCACAACCAAGAGCATGCTACCTTCTAGAGAGAAGTGTAAAATTGGCTTTGAGGCCTGACATAGGGTTTCCAGCTAATTGTTTACTGAGTTTCAAAGCTTCTCGTGCCTTTGCACCTATTTTGAGAATCTGTCTTTCTGAGGACTGTGAAGATAGTTATGCAGTTGAACCACCGTTTGGACAGGGTGACAAAATTAACATGGGAGACATTGAAACTAATTGAGTAGGTGCTTTCATTATAATTTGGACCTTGGGGATAAAATGAGCTATAATTTCTTTGAATTTCAGCATATTTGCCTGAGTTTGTAACACTGGATGTAATCTCAAAGTAAAAGAATTTTTAACAAGGAAGTTAAACAGTCTTTTGAAATCTAATAGGCAGGTGTGGTGAAAAGCTTCCATACTCAATTCAAGGTCTTGATGAAGTTCAGCCCATGCCCAAATACAACTGGCATGAGAAAGTGATCAAACAGCAGGTATGAGATAAGCTCTGCATAGCTTGGAATAGAAGTCTCATGCAAGGTATTAGAGAAAATTTAATTTGTTCATTGTAAGAGCCAGAGGAACACAATCAAAGACCAAATTGTTAGTGAAGACATTCAATATTCATTAAATAACACACAGCCTCCCACCTGCCATATTTTCTGTTTCATTCTAGACAGTGAAATTGAGAATTCCGAAATCCTGAGAACATCACAGGGTACATGAGGATGGTCAGATTGTGGATCTGAAGAAATAACTTTGGATTTCTCTGCCCCCTCTGCCTTTCTTTTTAACTTAAGCAAAAAAGTCTCCAAAATTAATTTAAAAACAAAAAAACCTTGCCTTGATGTCGTCACCCATCCAAGACATGCAGTGATAACTTTATTAATGCAGCTCACAAAAGCGCTGTTAGTAATGGGTGTTTGTTACTGCAGCCACACATGCATAGACCTGGCTGACTCCCTGTCTCCTAACGAACGAACCTCAGGGGAAAATAGTTTTAGCAGGAAGCAACACACCAAGACTAAATGGAGATAAAGGGAGTTCTACTGGATTAGAAAGCTAAAGGGATGGAACACGCCTAGCTGATGTTAGCCAGCAAGTGACCTGGGCTACTGGTCATCAGACTCCTTAAGGATAAACCACTTGGGGATAGAGCTGAGGTAAATTTCAAAGTCTGTACAGCCCTTCCCTATCTCTCATCCTATTTCATATTAATTAACAAACGTGTTTGGGGAATAACAAATGACTTTTTATCTAATTAAGAAGGAGCACATTTTTGGAGTATATATTTTATAACCCATCCTAAGAGGAAATAGATTTATAGATTATTAGTTCCTGGAATCATCTGGGTTCCTATTTGTCTCTGCTGGTGCACCCAGCAGGGAGCTAACATTCTGAGAGGGTGGCAATTGCATTTCTTCATACTCTGCTGAAACCCCCAACATCTGGATGAGACAGAAAATCACCCCTGCTAGACTTGAAGGGCAGTAAAGACAAATGGTTCTTGACTCAGACTTTAACCAGATTCTTAACCAGGCAACAGTAAAAATATTATTTAAAATTAAAATTTAAAAACTTTAGATGGGGATAAAGTAGAGAAAGGACATAGATAAGGTGGAAAGGGCATTTCATGTAATATTTTTACTCCCTACACCCCCGTTTTTCCCTAGGCATTTTTAAAACCATATGCTTCTTTTAAAAACTCTTAGATCTTCTGAGGCTACTGCTATTAATGATATCCTATTCAGGATCCTGCAAAAGGCTTTCTCTGGCAAGAATTTCTCAGACTGTACGCTGTATTCAGGGGGTTGCTCTGCAAATTTCACGTTTGCTTAAAGTTGTGTGCATGTGAACAAGCATTCAGAACGGAAACTGAAGGGTTAAAAAAAAAAACAAAACCCTAACCTTCAGGAGGGGAAAAGCTACCAAATAAACTCCATCCCCAATTAAGACTTTAATTACCTGAAGCGAAAAGCATGAATGCATTTCTGTTAATGAGATTTTGGCCTTCTTTCACTTGCAATAGAACACTCCCCAGCATCCTAGGAAACACTAGGGAAAAGAATTGTCAACACTCACCGAAAGTCGTGCCCGCCTCGGGCCTGCTCACCGACGACACGATGACGAAGCCGAAGCCCTCGTTCTCCCCGCGCCGGATCTCCACGTCGTAGGGCTGCACCACGGTGCTCACCACACCGCTGCCACCGCCTCCGCCGCTGCCGATGCCGCTGGTGCTGCCACTGCCCGAGCTCACCGTGTTCAAGGAATTCTGGCTGCCCTGCGGGGTGCGCTTCTCCTCGGTCAGTGAGGCCGGCTGGTTGCTACTGTGATGAGATGAGGCTGGCGAGGGCACCTCGTTCTCTGTTTTGGGGACTGTATCAGAGATGCACCTCTCAGTTACCTGAATTTGCAAAAAACATGCCCTGCCACTCCTTCCTGCTTCTCCCTGCAACTCCACTATGTGCAAGAAATCAAGAGATGAACTGAGGTGAGACAGGACCTGGCCTCACAGAACTGAGATACAGTATAGGAATCTAAAACAGCTTCTCTTGATAAGTATTTACCTTTCAGTGTCTACTGACATCGTCCCGTGGGCAAACACCCAAAAAGTCACCTGAATTGTGTATCATTTATAACATACTGTATATATATATATCAACATCTACACTCAGGCTTAAGTCTGCAGCAAGCTCTGCCCTCTCCAAAATCTTGCCTGGTGCACAAGTCAAAGGAAAACGTACAGGAAGTAAGTGTAGGTGTGGTCTATACAAACGATGACCGCCATCTTTGCCTCAGAGATAGAGCCTTAGGCCGCACGTTCATATTGTCATAACCCTCAAGTCACATTTCTGCTCAGCTTTCCAAATAGCTTTGCTTTTGATTTTTTTTCCATCAGGCAAGAGACTGTAAGTTGACTTTACCATTAAGGCTGCCACATTGTGGGATTTGTGACACCTGTCAGAGGTATACCTTGTTTCTCTTCCTAGCTTCCAGATGTCAATTATCTACTCTGATCACACAACTAGATACATTAGCCTTCCTTAGAATTCTAGTTTTATTAAATTCCAGTTTTATTGCTTTATCCAGTGACAGGGTAAAGCACTCCTAAATAGCCACAGTAATAGGTGGGACCAAGTTAGGTTTCATGGAAAAAGCAAAACGTTTCCAAGTTTGGATAAGACAATATTTATTCCTAAAAACTTCTCCCTTCATAGATTTCTTTTTTATTGTAGTAAAATATCCAGAACATAAAATATACTTTTTTAACCATTTTTAAGTGTGTAGTTCAGTGGTATTAAGTATAGTCACACTCTTGTGCAACTATCACCACCATCCATCTCCAGAACTTTTTCATCTTCCCAAACTGAAAGTCAGTACCCATGAAACACTAAACATTTCCCCTCCTCCAGCCACTGGCAACCACTATTCTATTTTCTGTCTCTATGAATTTGACAACACTAGCTACTTTATGTAAGCGGAATCATATAATATTTCTCCTTTTGTGACTGGCTTATTTCACTTAGTCTAATGTTTTTTCAATAGATTAATATGCCGTTGACCCAGAGCTAAAAACTCAAAATATTTAAGATTTTAAAAATAAATCTGAAACAAAAAATCACATTGTTCCAGAATTTTTATTTGCGCCAGTGAAGTCAAAGTTTTCATCTCATCTCAAAAGCCATTGCTAACTGACTGCTATTGGCTGCATGAAATACAATGTTGAGAGAGGGTCGGAGGCCAGAAATGAGCTCTAGGGTCATAATCCACGACTAATTAACACTGTTTTCCATGGCTGCAGTAGGCAGGACTCTCACACTGGAATCTGATATATTAACTCTGTAATTAATTATATACCATTTAAATGACTTATACGAGTTTTTTATTTTAACAAGGTGCCAGTTAATTTTATCTGATAAGTATCTGTTTCACTAATATTAATGCTATGGAGAATTCACAGTATTTCATGTCATACTTCTTCAGTAGTTCAACTGATACAACACTTAATCTGCTTCTTCTGCATTGTGGGTTCCATCTTGAATATTTTGAGGTGGGGGCTGCAGACAAAGGTGAACCACCATTATGTGTGCTTGCAAGAGGCTGCAGAGTGAATGGAAAGGACAGACGTTTACACAATGAGCTGTCTCACAATGGCAGTCTGTAAATCATGATTCCCAAGAATGACAAGGAAGAAATGCTAAAATCTGAAAGCAGTTGGAAGAAGGAGGGAATTTCTGAGAGTTTCACAGAGGAAGGTTAAATTTAAGTTGGGCCTGAAAGAATATACAGTATTTTGAGAACTCAAGTACTTGGAAGCTTGCAGGCAGGAGGAAGGAATCAGAGATGACCCAGAACTGGCCAGCTCTACAACTTTCTTGTAGAAGAAAAACAAATCTCAGTTTAATACATATGACAGTCAACAAGCAAGTAAGGTATCAATAACTATTTTATGAGCTTATTTTGCAACACAAACTTAATTTTTGTTTTTTAATTTGAAGCTACAATTTTTCTGACTGTCATAATGACCTCTTTTATTGAGAAATATCATCCAATGAAGAAGGTGACTAAGTTCTGGCTGGCAAGGAGATGGGGGGAAGTAACATATATTCAACTAGTCCTCTTCTAAAAACCTCTGCTGAACATGCACCAATGGCACACTAAAGTACTTTTGAATGACAGGTGTTGTGCAGGGTTTGAGAGGAGCAAACCATCTGGAAATTCTGAGCTTAATCACATTTGAAAACATTTGCTAAAATAGATGCTTGGAGAGGCGGACACAGGACAGGGGTCTTCTCTGTGCATGAAGTGACAATGCACTGTCTGAAGGAATGAATGAAAAACGTACCCGCAAATACCACTTTGCGCCGCACTGTGAGGTTGACGTGGCCTTGCTTGGCAGCTTGTTGCATAAGCTGGACCACAAGCTGGTGTGATTTTCCAATTACTGGTGTCCCATCCACACAGATTAATTCATCCCCAGACCTCAGGCGGCCGTCTGTATCAGCAGCACCCAATGGGACAATGTGACCAATATAAATCTGTTGAGCAATTGGATCATGGATGAAACATTAACCTTTTGGTTTACTATTATACTGATGGCCTTCACATCTCTTAGAACAACTCCATTCATTCATTCATGTCTGCATTCATGCCACAAACATTTATTAAGCACCCACTAGGTACCAGGCATTGTGCTAGGTGCTACAACAGTTCTTAAATGGTGGAAAAAGTAACTATTTCTTGTTTGGTTCCTTGACATTTATCTGTGATCTGGTGTGACTCATTCTTTTTCCCCTTTGCAGAAATAAATCACTACTTTTCTTTAAAGGGCCGGCACTGTGGATAGCAATACGGAATGCACAATAAATATTGTTAAATCAAAGAATGAATCAAGCAAAGTCGTTTGACATCTCCATTTCTGCATTCTTTTAGCACCTGCTTGCAGAGCAGTCTTTATATTTAGGGTCTTGTGTTATATTTACCATTCACTAAACTTTAGCTAATATATTTGTGCTTTCCTTCCCTTCTCAGTAGATAATACATGCTATAACTACCTTTACATGGCATTTATAGTTTATGAAGAACTTTGACAAAAGGCTAGTTAAGAATATGAACCCTGGAGACAGACCCTTTCCAGTCCCTCCATTTACTAACTCAGTGAGCTTGACCAAGTTAATTAACCTTTCTGTAGCTTTATTTTATGATTTGAAAAATGGAGATAAATTCATAGATTTGATGGCTAAATGAGAGAATGTACGTTAAAAGCCATTAGCACAGCATCTGGCACATAGGAAGCACTAAATAAATAACAGCTATTATTATTATGAGGGAATTAACAATACTTATCTTTAGTTCTCTTTTCTTCTTTCAAAAGAATTCTGTGATGTTACACTAAATTTATTCTAAAGGCACTTAAAGGTTAGTGCCTCCTGACCCTTGTCCAGGGTTCTTTCTCTACTTTTATAAAGACAGTGGTCCTACTTTCTCTAATCTCTCATAATGCCTTGTGGAGTCCTCTCTACACACTAGCTACTCAATATACAAAGCCAACTATCTGCCCACAGATTTAAAAGAACTGGCCAGAAGGATCAGGCCGCTGTTTTTCTTAGTTGATGCCTATCCCTATTCTGATTTTTGGTTCTGTTTTCTTTGACGGAGAGCTCCAGATCCTGCAGCACCACTTTTCACAAACACACATTTTTTAGAAAGGATTTAGTCCCTTCTTTCTCAAGATACAAGGAGCTCTACAAAATCCAAGGAATAAGCCCTCTGGCTGGAGATGAAATAGTACTACACCTAGCTGGACTCAAATCTTGGTGATTTGTCACTGCTGACAATTTGCTTTGAAGTCTTAGAAAACGGCATTGGAGGGAGAGGCAGACAAGAGACTCACAGGTTCCCCCGGTTCATTTCCACCCAGAATCCTAAATCCAAATCCAGTCTCTTTTCTCCAGAGGAAGATGTCCTGTTCTTGGTAATCTGGAACTGCAGAGAGGGGAAAAAGAAGAGAGAGATTATTTCTCAGATACAAGTAATCATACTGCTATGGTGAACACACTGACAGGACTAGTACTGATGATGTTTGACCAGATGACAGATTTCCAGCACAGACAAGGAAACAAAATAATCTGGACAAGTGAAACAAAAGAGGGCACTGGGTGAAAGTAAACAGTGCAAAGAGTCATTGAGCCTAAGTTTTTTCAAAGGACTAATCACTGTTTGATAATTTTTAATCAAGTCCAAGCCATTATCCCTGACTAAGCCAGAAGTCAGTGTTGACCTCTCTTCTCAGTATTGTTGCAAGGGGAATTAAGTAAATTAAAATTATCATGCATTGCACCACAATGTGGGTGTCCATATCCAAGAAGAGAGCTCATGTGAAGTCACAGTGACCTCTGAAGCAGAGGCTGACTCTGAGGATGTAGAAGTCCTCTTAAGTCATCTGATGCTATATCAAGTAGAGAATGAAAGAAAACAGCTTAGGTTAAGAAGAGTTTTCAGGGGCTGGCCCCATGGCCGAGTGGTTAAGTTCATGCACTCTGCTTCGGCGGCCCAGGGTTTCTCTGGTTCAGATCCTGGGCGCGGACATGGCACCGCTCATCAAGCCATGCTGAGGCGGCATCTCACACGCCACAACTAGAAGGACCCACAACTAAAATATACAACTATGTACTGGGGGGACTTGGGGAGAAAAAAAGCAAGAAAAAAAAAAAAAGAAGATTGGCAACAGTTGTTAGCTCGGGTGCCAATCTTTTTTTTTTTTTTTTTTTTAAAAAGTGTTTTCCATTTTTTTTAAAAAAATCACTTTTTCTCTTATAATCAAGACCAGCAATGCGAATAATTTGATGTTAGATCATTTTTGCCAAAAAAGTTACTCTAAACATCCTAATATTTCCAGATTTACTAAATTGACTATGATTTTAGTACCATTACCAGAAAGCAGCCAGCCTTCCCTATCCTTGAAACCAATGATGACAACAAAAATGTTCTGTATCAATGAACCACATTTCAATGCTAAAATGACTGACTGTTTTACTGGAGAGTTTGCCTATAATATTTCAAAATTATAAGTATTAATTTATTATCCAGTAACTTGATATTTTACTTTTAAAACTCAGTAATGGTCCAGGGCTTTAAAATAAAAATCTCATTTTTTAAAAGAAAAGTAATTTCCACAAGAAAATGCTTACTGTACATAAAATTGTTCTTTATACCACCCTGTTAACTAAGGTAATAAAAAGCGGCTATTTCTATTTAATTCTTATTTAATATTTTAATGTATACATAGTGTGTTTTATGGTCTCTAAAATGACATCTATTTAAAAAGAAAAAATATAGTTTAGTGGCAATGAATCCTAAAGGAGATTTTCAAATACTGTTCTGCAGACTTTCTGGTTCATTTAATTAATTGGATTTTGGGCTGAAGGAGTGTGTAGGCCTGAGAATTTAATTCTTGTCTTCTCAAATTTTGTACAATGGGATAGGGAAGAAGAAGGCGGTTGTTTAGATTTCTAGTTGGCGAGAGATAGCCCTTTTTAGTGACTCACCCACAAGCTTACAATGTACAGTGAATGAGTATGCCAAGAGAGAGGAAAGAAACTAAACGAACAGGTAAGTAGAATCCAGAGGAGTTTGAATGTGATATTTTTGCTTGAGCTATCTTAACGCCATGGCTTTAAATGGTGTTTTTTATCCAATGCTCTTTTAAAAATAATTGCTGAGGTTAAGCTGCAAGACGCTATGGAATATGGAGTTAAACTACATTATAGGACTCTCATAAACAATTTGAGAATGATATTTTCTTGAGCACACTAAGGTAACAATATTTTCTTTCTGTTCGAGTAGCTGGCTAAAGGGTATTTGCTGTAATAGCCTCATTGAAACAACAAATTAAATCAAGTTGGGTCTCCATCTTCGGTTCACTCAAGCAGGAGGATTATTACCAAAATAGACCACGGATGCTTTCCAGCCAGCACTAGGTTCCTGGCAGAGTCTGCCTGAAGTCTGCTGAGCCTTTCTGTGAACAAGGAAAGAGCCTTTGCAGAGACTTCCAGCCCAGACCCATTTTTCTCAGCATCATTTAACACAGGAACACTTGCCCATCCTACAGTGACACCAAATGTAGCAAGTTTCTGCCTTATATTGCTCATTTAGGTATAAGCTAACATAATATGGGTGGTTGCGGCCAACAGACTTAGGCTTATCATACAGTTTAGTCCATAGAAAGAAAGCATTTGTTTCTCTCTGAGAATCAATGGGAAAATGGCAAATTTATGTAAAGAGCTTCCTGTTGAAAAAGAAGATGCCCAATGACACTGAGGATGTTGAAGATGCCAGTGATGCGCCAGGAAAACACAGACACAGACACGATACACCAAAACACAGACAAGTTACAAAGAAAGTCTTTTGGCACCTTAACTTTGGCATTTTAACGATTCTACTCTTCCACCAACCAAATGCCACGTATACAAGAATATACTTCAGTGATAAATCAGTCCTGCTACATATTACAGAATTATAGAATTTCTCTCTTGTGTGTTCTGCTGCCACTTCTTCCCAGGGGCAATGAGGTTTCTAAACGACTCCCCCAAAATACTTTGTTCTCTTATTTCAGGCAGATTTTATTAGAATTAAATTTTAGGAGGCAGCAGGGTAGAACCATCTTTCTGATATCAATATCACTTTTTCTTTTGAGTGAAGCTAAATCAAAAACAGCTAAGAAAATCTTGTCTAGCTTTCTTCATTTTTAAGCCCTTGCATTGGGGACAGTCTCAGCAGTTAATCTCCTGTGGTAATGCCAATGACAACTCAACAGAGCGGTCAAAAGACTTCCTTTGATAATTAGGAAGAATGGAATCACCAGGTTCGCAGAGAAAACTCTTGGTATTTCCATTATGACAGACACACGTTTCTAGACTTGGTGAAAACACACCTATCATTTTCTATTTCACATTGTCTTTGGTCTACGCTTGGTCAACAAAAACACCAAAACACTTCCTTCATGGTATTTCTCTTTGTGAGTTTTCCCCCAGCCTCCCAGACCAATGGGAACATCAAACAGGATGAATAATAATGGAGAAATAAAAGTTTTCAGCAGATCCTTACTCTGACATTCTCCAAAATTCGTGGAATTGATTTCTCTTTCTCTTTCACCCTTGCTCAATCCCGACGCAGGCGAAGGTGACATAGCTGGAATATTAATTTCACAATTTTGCAAAGCTTAATGTATGTGCTTTCTCTTAGTTCATTTTAATTTAGTTTTGATTGATAAGGAATGAGCAGTTAAGCTTTCACAGTAAAGGTCATGGCTGCTGTGGATTTTAAAAGACTATAGTTTGATTCTGTTTTTCTTTTTCATTGTGCTTTTCTAGTCAAAAAGCTAGAATTTACAATTGTACCACTGAGAATTTCATAGAATTACCATTACCATCTTAGACTCTTCAAATTTAATTATACCCTAAAGTACACATTCTTGTATGACTTTGTTTTAATCATGTCATGAACTTTAGGTTTGTTGAAACTCTTCTTTCTTTTTGAAAAAAATTAAGTATACTTTTGTCACTGCCATACTACAGCATTTATTTAAAAGAGTTTCAAGTTTCTGACGGAATTCATTCTTGTGCTAATATCTGTTCAGATGAATTCTAGGCAGTTCAACTGGAATAGTCTTTTATTTAGAGACACAAATCATCAGATCTGGACAAGATCTGAACAAACACACATATAAGAACTGTCATAACAGCACTTAAAATCTAGATGTACACTGAAGCTCTTTAAACTCCCTATGATAAAGGAGCCCATTCACCAACTCCAAATTTGTAAACATGTCCCTCCTGAGCAGGATAGGTTTACAACATTGGTTAATATGACAGCTTTGACATTTTCTCGTTCCAAAGGATTTTGTGAACAAAGTTTCAACTGCAAGCTTTAGACTTTTTTTCTAGCAAACACTGATTGGATACTAGGCTGGTCCTCCTGAACATTCACTAATAAGATTGCATCAACATCATTTTTAAAGACATGTGCACAATTGGTATGTTACCTAGAGAAAATACAAAAGGGGCAACATGGCTTTTAAGGGACTTTCATGCTTGCGTTTGTTTTTAATTAAGCATTTAAGCCCTTCAAAGGAATTTATTAACATATCTGCCATTCAGATGGATTCATTTTGACACTGCTGTTTTGACAGATGGCTCTACCAAGAATACAGTATTTTGCACAGCATTTAGACCATGTGAAGGAATTTGATCAGAGATTGTGTTAATCTTAACACTGCTCTTCACAATAAAATGAAGTTAAGAAAGTACATTTTCAAAACAAAAAGGGAATAAAATAGTTCAATGAAGGTGCTACTGCTGACTTCAATCTTCCTGGAATACTTTGCTCATTTTAATATGTCTTGTGGGGAGGGATAGGGAATCACTTCTAACAAGGCTACCCTTTTTTTTTTTCCCCAAAAGACAAAATTAAAAAACAACCTAAGCGAACGGCAGAAACTGATCTGGGGTAAAGCAAAATACTGATTAAAAGACAAGATTGACGTAGGTTCATTTGTAGGTACTGTGAAAGAAGAAAATCTGTGACAGATACTGAATAATTACCATTGGGGGGAAGTCTCATCATTATCCTCATTTAGTAGTGAGGAAGAAATCCACGTGAATCTTAACATCAATTAGGTTGCTACAATCACTAATTACAGAGCCTCCAATCGCCAAGAAGAACTTGATGCTCATTTGTGCTGCTAAATCCTATTCCTTGCATGTTAAGGGAAAGTGAAGGCACAAAACTGGCCCTGTTCCAAATTGTCTGACCGCCACCCGAGCAATCTTGATGCTTCAACAAGCAGCTGACTATAGCAAGAATACACATTTTTCTTATTTTTTTTCTGAAGAAAACTTTTTAAAAAGTTTTATTAAATACCAAATTCTCAAGAAATTTTGCTTCCATGAAGGTAAAAAATGGCATTTGAACTAGAGCCTCCTATTAAACGTTGTTAGTGCCGTCAAGCCTGACTCCTAGCAACCTGTGTACAGCAGAGCAGAAGTCTATCCGGTCTTTTTGCGCCATCCTCTCCACCTTCCAGTGCTGTATCAGACAATGCTCCACTGCTGTTCACAGGGTTTTCACAGCAATGTTTTTGGAAGTGGGTGGCCAGGTCCTTCTTCCTAGTCTGTCTTAGTCTGGAAGCTCTGCTGAAACCTGTCCACCATGGGTGACCCTGCTGGTTTCTGAAATACTGGTGGCATAGCTTTCAGCATCACAGCAACAGGCAGCTGCCACAGTATGACCACCTACTGACAGGTTGGGGGGGGGGGCTTCCCTGACCAGGAAAAGAACCCAGGTGGCAGTGTTGAGAGCGCCCAATCTTAACCACTAGACCACGAGGCCTAACCTATTAAACGGATGCATTAGAATTGTCTGTTAATCCATCATGCACCCCTATCACTTCAGAACATGACTTATCACAAAAAGTCATACATGGGAAGCTCAGTCATAAATGTGTGCTATACTGAGAAAAGCAGGGGCAAGTCAATAAAGGAGTAGCTCAACATCCACTGAGATTGGGCCATTGATTGGAGGAGCTGCACGGTTAGAGAGAACTGTGAAAGGACTGAAGAAATACTCCTCTCTGGAAAACACTTCTTCAATGAGATCACTATAGTGAGTGAGAAGACACAGTGAGAACAGACCCCCAGTTCACACTTAGCAACTACTGCTTATGAGGGGTGTTCCAGACGGAACTTCATTTCCTTTGGCCTGGAGTCAGGCATCCTCTTGGGACCTTTCTAGTCCAGGGACCAAATAAATCCCTTCTCAAATTATCTGGCTTTTGTCAGCGTAGTGAACCCTTGGCCAAAACAGTTTATTTAATTCCTCACACTGCTACAGTAAGGAGGCAAGATATCTCTCCCTTGAGGAGGAAAAGGGTGGAGAGACCCCTGAGTGACTTCTAAAATTTGATAGTCAGCAAGTCTCCAACTGGCCTTGTGCCCCCACCTCCTAACTGCTGAACTGCACCCAGTACTGTGGCCAACTTTCCTTCTCAGAGATGCTGGCCTCAGTCCCCTGTTCTGTTTGGGTCACAGAGGAGTTGCTTCAGCCAGCAGAGGAAATGCTTCATAGCCAAGTCCGAGTGGGTGGGCGAGAGGCTGGAGCACCTCCCACCACCTCTGTGCCATGACTCTCCATGGAGCTTTGCCTGAGAGAGAACCACAACTGTGGCTATAGACGAAACCTCTGCTGAGGGGGGCAGGGACAAAGAGGATGGCAAGACGATTCTCTTCTCTCTTGCGGTTTTCATTAGGCCCTTCACCAAACTTGGTCTCCTCCCTCATTAAACATTCTCTCCTATCCCTTGACAAAAAGAGAAAATGAAGTGCATGTCCTGCCTTGTTGCTTCATCCTGACCCATCACGCTCATGACTGAAAACGTCAGTAAGAGCAACAGCCAAAAAAGGGCCCGTTCGCATCTCATATGATTAAAGCATTTTAGGAACTTTCATTGGTAATGGTAAGATAAATGAGTATTATTTATGGTGAATCATCTTTGGAAATCATTTCTTAATAAAAAGTAAGAAATTAAACATGAAGGCAATATTAATCTTAGGTTTATAAGAGCCAAAAAGTTACGATGTACGCCATCACTAGTTAATATTTATGGAAAAGGTAAAGCCAAAGGAACATATTTAACCACAGTATCAATAATTAAAGCACAAACCACAAACTGCTTGTTTTTTTCTTTTTAAGGGGAATATTTAGAGAGACTAATAATGGTAAAAAAAAAAAATTGCCAGTATCCTTAAAATCTAAGAGTCCTCTAAGAAAGCATTTAATTTCTTCTCATTACTCATGCAATCCAAACCAATCATATTTATGTTCTATTGTATATCAGAGCTGTTTCACAAGAGCATGTCACAATCTCCATGTGGTGAAAAATTAATGAGACAGCAGCTCTTATCTTCTACTTCTTTTAACTGAAGGGAAAAATAAATCCATTTTTATCCAGGCCTTTTATGTGATGACTATCCATCTCTACCCCCTCCCCAAAGTGAAGACATAATGGAGCCCCCAAGAATAGCCAACAGATGCTATCGCTGCTGTGGGAAGCTTTCACCTCTCCCCTTGATTCACCTCAATCCAGTTTACACAATGGAAACCAATTTTCAGTAAGCCTCAAGAGAAAGTTGGAGCCCTGGGGAGGGGTCTTGGGAAGACAGGAGCCAGGGTGCTACTCACGTCGGTTTTCATACATGCTCCTGGACTGGGCCCAGATTTTAAAAGGATCTGGTTTTTTCTGCCCAGAGCTGTCGGTTTGGTCAGGAGCTGGAGCCTCTGCAGGAGGTGGGTACTCGGGGAGCACCTGTGTGCCGTGGCTTGGGGACGCCGTGTGCAGGCTTCGGTGGCTGGAGACACTGTGCTGAGAACTATTCTGGCTGTCTTTTCTTTCCAGTGGTTGCTGAAAGTAAGCAAGAGAGAGGGGCAAGAAGAGATTATTACTGGGTCTCTGAGTGGGTGTTTTCCACCGCTTGTCTTTGCTCAGCTCTTCTGCACACATACACATAAATATATCAACAACACTGTGGCCTCCACCTTTCTCCAGCTAATGCTGAATGCAGATAAATCCCCAGGTGATTGGCAGACAGGGAGAGGGGCGGGCCAGATGGAAAGACATAATCACAAACCATACTGCTCTCTGGGCTGTAGCAGAAAACAAATCCAATTTTCATCATATGTTCTCGGCTAAGACTCTGGGGCTGTTTATTACAAGAAGTATCAGTTTAATATCCTCATTTTTTGGTTGATGTTGTTTTAAAAGGTCCTGGGTCGAGGGTAGAAGTGGGGAGAATGTAGGAGACTGTTGTAATTATTTCTGTGAGAGAGGATGGTGGCTTGGACTAGGGTACAAGGCCAGAGATGGACGGAAGTGGTCAGATTTTGGATATACCCTGATGGTAGAGCCAACAGGATTTGCTCATAGGTCCTATGGAAGGTGAGTGAGAAAGGAATCAAGGATGACTTCAAAGTTTGGGCCTCATCCAAATGAAAGACTGCAGTAGCCATTTACTGATATGGCAGAGAGAAAGGGGATAATTATTTGGGCCTGTGCAGTTAGAAGAGAGTTCAGTTCTGGGCTTATAAATTTGAGCTGCCTATTAGACATCCAACTGGAGATGGCCAGTAAACAATTAAGTACGTAGGTTTGAAGTTCAGGGGAGAGATACAAGAAGTATCAGTTTAACATCCTCATTTTTTGACAAAATACATGACACGAAATACTATGAGGTTTAAATGTAAGGCTATAATATCCAGAAGAAATACAATCAGGGCTAAAAACGTTCGTTGGGACTCTACGTCTTGCATCTTTCAATAATAAAATACTCAACTCTTATCTAAGGATTTTCCATCAGTTCTTCTAGACTATAAGAAAAAGGAATCAGATATTTTAAAAATCATGCTAGCATTATATGTGCACTTGTACTCCTAAGTATATAAATAACTATTATATGAAGAGCTTTCATAATCCTTAGCCAATCAATTTTGCAGGCATCACATTTCACCTCTTGATCTCCTGACACTACTGTTGGTTGAAAACCAAGATCGAACCTTATATATGGGTTGACCTCAGGGAGTCAGCCTTGTTAGATTTGTAACTTGTCCAATGTCCAAGTAGTATTCAAAGGGAAAGAGTTTCATTTAAATTTCAGTAGAATAAGCAGGTTCCTGTTTCTTAAAACTCACTCAGCAAAAGACCCTTCCCATTTTATGAAATGCTCTTTGTTTGAATGGTGATTCAACAAAGAGCAAAAACTAATGGGAGAAAAAATATTGGGTGTGATATAAAATAATTTCAGTTATTTTCTCCAGTAAAAGACTGTGGTAAGCCCAGGTGTTTAGTTTCCCCCATTCAAAACAATCCTGGAGTCTTGCCTCTCACAAACAGAAGCTATGTCTCTACACTTATCTGCTTAAAAGCATCATAAACGGGTAGAGGATAGCAAGGGCCCTCTCTGTCCTCTCTTACAGATCCTTATAGCTTTTTAAGTAGTTTATAAGATCTTTGACCCAGAGCATCTCAGTTTGCTAAAGTTCTTAACAGCATCAAAATCTTCCCCTTGGTCTTACAATCAATCCTATCAAAACTGTTGTTCCTTGCTCTCTCCTCAGGTATCCCCCATCTTTCATTCCTTATCTCAATGGAAATTTCCAAGGTCCCTTTCATTTAAATCTCAGGTCCCTCTATACTCTCTCTCTTTATATTCCTTGCTTTGAAATTGTATCTAAAGAAGCTCAAGGAGGACAAAAACTTCATCTGCCCTTGACTATTACAGACTACAGATCTAAATATAGGTTTTGGCAAGGATTCAAAGTTGAGGAAAATTGGGCATGTATTTCATGAAGGTAAGATAGACCATTTAAAATTATACTTGGTGTGCCTGTGGGAGAAATTTGAGGACCATGCTTTAGACTGGCAAAGAGGTCTTGGTAAAACTGTACAAGAGGCTTAATTCACTCAGACTCAAGAGGACAACAAACTCTAGTGAAGATGCCAGGAAAACACACTGATGTCTGGGGAGGGACAAACACTACCCTTAGCCCATGTCACCATTGTTCCCTTTTGAGGATAAAGTGCTCAGCTCAGACATGGATGGATCAGCATTCCAAAGACCTGGAATAGAACCTGGTTCTACCAACTTCCAAGTGTCCCCCCCAACAGTAAATTTTGCTCTCAGGGTCAGCCATCTGATTCCTGCCCAGAGAAGGTCAATACCTGCCTTCTTGCTTCCCCTGGAGACATGCTGAAGATTTTCAGAGTCAGAAAATGCTAATGACAGATACAATCCCCATTCCCTTTTGCATGTGCATGGGAGTTTGTTTTTCTCTTCACTGTGGTCTTTACAGGCATCTGGATTATAAATGAGCATATGCATCGGCTCATTTTGGGTGTGTACACACACTAGCATAAGCACAAAAAAGTTGGAATCAAGGTGGGTTTTCCCCCTCTTATACTTTACTGCATTGCCTATTTTTCATTTTTATAATGCACAGAGAATGCTTTTTATAATTGAGACAAAATTTAAAGCTATTTTCATTTTGAAATGAACTTTGGTAAGGAGAATTAATGAGAACTGCTATTTTCTATTTTTACACTTGGGTAGTGTTTCGTTTTTGTTCTCCTCTCAGGAAGGAGAGAAAAGATATTTTAAATGTAAAAGCAAATAATTCCCAATAGATAAAGGACCTCCGAGTTTACCCTGAGACTTGTATTCCCTCCCTTCAAGTGCTGGCCCTTTCTGGGTTCCTCAAATGAGTAGCAAATGCCAGATTGTGGGGTCAGTCCATGGACACTAGAGTCATGTCACAGTTAAAGTCCATCTTTGACCCTGGAAGCTCCAGTCTCCTCGTGTTGAGACTACGCTTCACAAAACCTCCCTGAGACCTAGGGTGAGCTGCATGGCAGGATTACCGGAAGGAAACATCACACTCTTCTTCCTCTCCTGGGGTTCCTTGGAGTCCCTGGGAAGCCAACTTTAACCTCTTCCACTCACTCCCTCTTCCTGAACTGGAGGAAAATATCTTTCAGGCAACCCTGCCCCAAAGACAGTCTGATAAAAGGGCTGCACCTTTCTCCTACAGAGAATGCACATGTGCTTTGACACACATACCCACAAATGCATGCACAGGCATTCTCATCTCACCTCCCGGATTTCTAAGATTCTTTGATGGCTGTCCCAGTGTACAAATCTCTGACACGGAAGACCTGGAAATCTTGAGTTTAACTGAAGAGACAGCTGTGCCATAACCAGAGTGGGCAAATGAAGTCTACTGGAAGTGGCATGGGCCATTCTTCAAATTTTAATACCCTTTCTCACCTCCCCAATAAATGACTCATTTAGGTCCAATTTAATGCAATTTAAAATGACAAATGCAATCTGGAATGAGTCTGCAAAACTGCCTCTCAATCAAACTGCACCTCTGCATCCCTTTCAAGTGTCATCTAAACTTTGTTCCTAAATTTGGAAAATAAAAGGAAAGCAGCATCTTGAGAATGTGCTCTAAAAACTGCCACCACTAAACTCTCACTAAATGGCATATTCTAACCCACACTAATGGGCTAAATACACAGTAATCTGGAAACTTTTTGGATTTCCCCCGATAAGATTTAACCTCACTTTAAGTTTCCTTTCAAGTTCTTGTTGGCACTCCGGACTTGTCTTTTATCTAGTTACAGCCCAGAATTGTCCAGGAGAAAAGCCATGTTTATATATTTCTTAAATTAAAGTCAACCTGTAGCCGCTTCAGTAGTCTGGTTGATCTCCCAGAAGACCTGGGTCATGAGAACAAATTCACTTCTGAACTAGTTAGAGCCCAGGATCAGATTTGCATCTAATGTGATTGTCTTTTACCTCATCTTTCTAGGTGAGAAACTGGCCAAAGACAAGTATCTATCATTAAAGATATACTTTCAAGTCTGTTAAAGTAACTCTATGCATACTAAGAATATGGATGGAGGAAATACCTAGTACACCAATGACACAACATCCAGCTAGGCTCCCTTGAGTAAACTACTTATTCACTTATCTAATCAACACATACTAATCACCTACTGTGAGCCAGATTCTGAGGGATACAATGTATTAGGAAGAAAGGGATAGTGCCTGAGGTCTTGGAATGGATACCTGAGTGTGTATCTAGGTGTGTGTATATGCACGTATGTGTATAAAGGCATATTAACCACACAATCAGAATAGATTGATAACAACGTACTGCAATGTCCTCTAGACAGATGGTAAGGAGAGGCCTCTGGAAAAACACTCCATTAATGGAAGCAGCTTGTGCTAAGTCTTCAAAGCAAAAATGAGCTTGGATTGTTTGAAGACAGGCAAAAGGGTAGTGTGCACAGCGAGGGAGTAGGGTGGTCTGAGATGAACTTGGGGACCAAATAATGCAAGGGCCTCATGGGCTACTTTAAGGAGTCTGGGTTTCATTCTTAGTTCGGGGGAGCAGGAATCCTTTAATGAATTTAAAGCAGGGATGTGCCAGGAGCCAATTTACTTCCAGAAAGTTTGGCCTCACTAGTAGATGGAGAATGGGTTGGTGGGGATAGGAGTGAAAGCAGAGAGCCAGTCAGGAGGCTACTGAGCAGTCCACGTGAGGAATCCGAGGTGGTTTATACTAGGAGAGTAGTAGAGATGAAGGAAAGGGACTAGTAAAGTCAAAAGGCATTTTGGCGCCAGACTCAATAGGCACTGCTGACAGACTCAACGGGGGAGACGAGGAGGAAGAGGAGATCTCAGAAACATGGATATCCACCTCCCAGTTCTCCAGCTTGACCAACTGGTTGGAAAGGGGAGCCACATATCGAGATGGATATTTCCAGTGCCAGCTGTTGTCACTATGCTGGTATTTTTTGAATCAAGATTTTTATTTCTGAATATCAAATCAGAGCCAACTAGGAGGAAAGAAATGGGCTCAATTTTGAAAACTCCATAAAAGTCCTTAGCCACACACTATGGGTGAATTCGTGTCATTTACCAACCTCCCTAGAACGAATGGTTCCCTTACTACTGACAGGCAAGGGAAATAGGGAAGATGCAATGGTTTTTATAAATGGAAACAGGAAAATAAATCAGCTCATCAGTATTTCACAGAATGATTTCAAAACAGAGGTACTTATAAAGTGAGCTGAAAATATTTACTTGGAAGAGCAAATGAATACAGACAGCACTTAGGAGCTTAAATGATGAAGAGAATTCATGTGGCTCAAAAATGACAAATCGATCCATTTTAAAGCAAAATTATTTACAGTTCACTTATCTGCCAAGACTGAAGGCCACTGCAGCAATTTACACGGACAACAGGAAAAACTCCAAGTGCTAATGAGATAGTAGGCCAATGTCATTAAAGGTTGTGCGAAAATCAGAGACTCAAATACAAGGCAAAGCAGAGGATGGTCCTTCTTTTGGTCTCTTTCTTTTATCATTTATGGGTCTAAGGCAAACGATTTCTTCCCAAAAGGCAGGCAAGAGGAGTTAATGGAAAAGAGAAGGAAGGTATTGATTGGATGTGAAAATGAATTTTGGTTCACACTGAATGTTTTAAAGAAATCTAACACAATAGCGAAGTCCATTTTCTAAAGCTCCAAAGGGGTGAGGATTGAGCTGCTGTGAGAAGCGAGAGGCAAGGACCTGCTTAAGTAATCCTGCTCCTTCGCCCATCTGCTACTCTCACTGCTTCTCCCTGTAGCATGGAGGAGCTTTGATGGGTTGTACTACTGCCCTGGTTGTTGGACAAGTGGTATGGGGAAAAGAAGGAAACTAGGTACTGAGACAACTAGGAGAGTCTGAGAAAGAGCCAGGGGACATAAGACTGGAGTTTTCAGGCCAGGGTCACTCACTGTGTACATTATCGAAGATCTCTCCTTCACATCTCTTAATGACTAGTTGTCAGCAATGTCCTTAAGATCCCTTCCAGGGCAAAGAAACAGAGGACAATGGACTAGCAACCTGTCACTATTGCTACCTTTTGGCTTGCTACGAGGTTTCCTACAAAAAGGTTGTTGAAGAGACTGCCCTGCCCCCTGTTCAGTGTGCCCTCTATGGAAACTTGGAGAACTTTTTAGTAACTGGGAAAATTTTGTCTTTTTAGTTAACATGGTATGCTCTCTTTGATCTGACTGTTAACAGCTAAGTAAATAACGCGGTTTCCTATGTTGCTCAGGCTGCTGGGGAACTCCGAAAGATTCCACAGCTCAATCATAGCACCTAACTCAATCTTGGGTCTTTTATATGGCTTTGTACAACTACTTAACTTTGGTTATTATAATTAAGAGCTGAATGATTTTCATTATGTGTGCACTTGGTTCTATATTATATTTCTGCTTTGTTAACTTTTGGAAGCATATGCTCATCAGACTTTAAGCCCCATGAGGAGGGTCTGTATAGATCTGCCCATTTGTGTGGTTATTGCTTGTCTCCTCCCAGTTCCATGAGGACAGGAATGTTTTCTGTTTTAGTTCCATTGTATACTGGCAGTGGCTCTGGCGCACAGGGATACTCAATAAATAGTTGTTGAAGGAACAAATGCATAAAGATTTTTGGTGATTTGTGACAATGAATCCTTTTTTTGAAAGGAGCAATCAATAAATCATTTGTTTGTAAGTTCCAGGAAGGTGCTGTGACCATCTTATTTATTATAGTATTTCCGGTACCTTCCGCCAAACCTGACACTTAGTAGGTTCTCAATACTACTTCACTAAATAAATGAATGGATGGATGTATGCATGCATGGCTGGATGAGTGGGTAAAAGATGAATGTACAGATGGATGAATGGATAGATGATGGATGGTTAGATGGACAGATGGACAGATGAAGGAAGGGAGAAAGAGAAGGAATGGCTGGGAAGCGAATTAGTGAGAAAACAGGTGAATATGGACTTAAAATTCAGGGTTTGGTATGATATTTAAACTCTCACAGACAAAATCCTTATGTGTTATTTAGACCAAGAGTCTCAGTTAAATAAGTTTCAAGCCAGGATGATTAAATTGGGCCACGGAATCAGCTTCCCAGTGAAGTCTAAAACCTGACAGCAAATATGTCTTATTTTTGTCTCTGCCGTTTGGCAGAAAAATCCCTGATGTTGTGGATGTCCAGATATCAAATTAATAAAATTTCATTAAGACACTGCCATTGTCTCCAATGAGTATTAAACCATATATTCAACATTTAAACTAAATCTCGTAGGTGAAATTGCTTATTAAAAGTAAGCTATCCAGGCTATCCAGGAGGCGAAACAAGATCAAAAAGATAAGTCCTCCTGTTCTAATAAAAACCCAACTACTTAATTATTAAGAACATTATTTTGAAAAAAGGTGTGAGGGCGAAAGGAAGCTGTCAGTCACATGACCAAGCCAATAATGTCAGGAGCCTCTAGGAAAAAAGAAAAACCACGGCCTTAGGTAAAGAGAGTATAGTCACAGAGCTGATAGTAAATCTTAGCGTATCACAGGCCAGGCACAATCAGTGTGCATTTCATTACGTAGCCTGCATAACTGACCTTATCTGCCATCATGTGAATGGCTTTCTGGAGCCATGATGTCCAGCTTCCCCATGGATTCCCTCCGACCCCACGAGAAAAATCCCATAATCATCTGTCTCTTTGGCAGGACATCATCAACATCCAAACTGGGAAAGGGAAACAGCTTTCAACCCACCTGTACAGAGCTCCCACTGATCACAGATGTTAGCAAAGCTCCTCTGGCAACAGCAGACCTTGGCAGATATCCCCCAAATTTTGTACAGCAGCTTCCAGAGCGTGCCAACAATGCTGTGAAACCCATCATCCCTGTCCTGGCACAGAAATCAGGGCAGGACCAGCCCCAAGCTGGGGGCTCATTCTTTCCTAACCCAGCAACACATCAGTCTCTTAGCTTGTGGTAATTAAGAGCCAGCAGACTGTGGGCAAAGCAGTTAAGAGAGCTTTTTTTCTAGGAATGCAGCCTGAGTAATTGGCTTGCTGCTTGCTAATGACATGACTTCTACAAAAATAAACTGTCATAGGGAATTCTCTTAACTGACTTGGTGAATGCAGGCTCTCTACCTGTCTGATACCCTGTGAGTTCAGCAGGGAATTCCAAAATACTTTGGGGAAGAAGAGATGCAAATGAATCTCCAAAAATCCTCCTGCACAGTTAAGTTTAAATGGGATGCAAAACAAAAAAAGACACCTTGCTACCTGATGTCATGCTGCCTCCACAAAACTGCCCTCTCTCCCCCTGTATGCTCCTTGTCAAGACTCCATTCCACGTGGAGTGTGTAGAATAAGTCCACGCATCACAGAGCATGGTTGGGGATGGGGAAGAAAAAAGGATGGTTCCCTCTAATTCAAGGCTCATGTGACACATCTTCTAGATTTGATTCTATTTTTCTAAAGGCTGAATAGGTTTCTGACTATGACCCAGGGATGGGGAGACACGTGCATGCATGTGAGAACACACACACACACACACACACACACACAAACACACACACAGGTTTTAGCATCTCTGTGGTTCCAACATGGGCTCCGACCAGCACTTTTCTGCCTGGATCTTAACACAAACTGACAAGGAAGGAGCCCTGAAGTCACATGTTCCAATCACCATGGCACTATGCCATTGGAATCACATCAATTATTGCAGACTTTCTCTTTGGAGAACTTAGATGTGGGGCTTCAGAATGCAGGAAGCTCCCTCTTTCATCTTAATAAACTTCTGCCTCTCACAGCCAGGCTTGGAGACAGGTGGAAGGAATTCAGCTGCAGCACCATGAGCTGCAAAGTTTTAAAGGTTCTCCCTTCCTGGATGGCAGAAGGCTGCAGATTTTCCCTCGCCCAAATATTCAAGCCACATGGTAGTACCCCTCTCTATCCCAATGTTAATGAATTGGGAAGCCTCTTCCACCCGGATCAATTTCACAGGCATCCGAGTTCCAGATTTTGAGTTTTTAAGTAGCATTTTAATCTGTTGCCAGTGCCCCAGGAGCAGAACCTCACACTACCAAACAAAACACTACAGCCTCTAAGCTATTAGCTAACATGTCAACTAGGTGATGCATCTTCAGGGAAACCAGATTAGAAAGGACAGCAAAACATTGATTTCTTTTTTTTTTTTTTTAAAGAATCCTATACCTGCAGCATAATGCTGCTAACGCTGGCAAAACAACAAAGGACATTTCCACAGCAAGGAAATGTCTTATTCTTAGGGCTGGGGCACTGAACATTGTTCCATGTGAGCATGGACACCTATACAGGGCATAGCCATTCTTCCTTAAACCTACAGGCTTTTAAATTTTGTGAACAGTTCATCATCCAGTGGACAAGAAAGCTCAAGGAGAGAATCTACTCATGCGAACGGCTGGAAACACCAGTTGACAGCAATGCTACCCGGTTAGCAGGTGGAGTTTTTTGTTGTTTTTTTTTTTCCCCTCCCAAAGGAAACAATAGCATTTGTATCAAGTTAAAACATCTAAGAAACTCATCTATTTGAATGAGAGTTGTGATGCATTTACATAGAGAAGATTCCAACCATGAATTCTTTCTCCTGGCTCCTGCAGCCTGCCCACAAATCACTAGACAGTTCAAGACAAACCCAAATACCTTCTATAGCAAACAGATCCCCAGAACTCAATATAAGGAGCCCCCGTCCAGTTTCCCCCATCCACTCTAAAACACATTTAGTGAAGTCAAGCCAGACCGCGTCCCCTCCCACCACCTGCCCCCCTGCCCCCAAACAAGCACTAAGTAACTGACAAGTCCTTACCGACTTTGGGCTCTTCTTGGGAACGGGCAGCCCTGGAAAAAATGCAACAAGGAGGGGAGAGGGGAAGAAATCATTAGCATATAAATGTTACCTTTTCCTTAAAGAATAATCCCCAGGTGTTTCATGGCAACCTAGCCATCTGCAGAGTTATGTCAGATTTCTCCCCTAGCATCGGAGTTACCAGGCTGTTCATATCGAATCAAAGCAGAGGGAGGAGGAGAGCGAGAGGCAGGAGATCTATCTGCATTAGCTATGCTGACTTGTACTGCAGCAGCCTGGAGGCTGGGAAAAGAAATTCACAGACCTCAGCGGCCTGGGAAATTGAACACTTGGACAGAATCTCAAATGCTCTTCTGGATTAAGAGAGACTTAACTTACAATTAAGTCCAGGATATTTCCTTTCCACCCGATCCACTTGTCAATTGAAGCGGACCAATCAGGAGAGAGGAAGGGGTGTATATTTAGTTTCAGAGAAGTACATGGTTAAAATTAAAATTTTTTCCTTTTTTTGGTCTTTTCTTTCTTTTTTTCTCTCTGCCTTTCAGGAGAGGGAATGCCTTCTTTATTTGGATGAGCCAAACACCAAAACAAAGACAGATGCTCTTTTGCCAGCACAGAACACAAATCCAAGTCCGTCTAGGACCCACTCCGGATCCTCGGCACACCTCTCAATACCTGTCAGTCATCCAAGCAAACTCCTATTCAGCTTGGACTCGAGCTGGGACTAGACCCTTAAGGGGAGAGCAGGTCGTTTGGGAGTGAAAAAGAGAAATTTCACAGAGCCGAGAGAAAAACATAATAATGGAGAAAGAGAAAAGGCAGAGGAGACAGAGGTGGTCTCTGAACCTGGCTGGCTCTTCCAAAATCCTGTCCTTAGTGGGAGGGTGAGAGCTGGAAGGGACTCTGATCTCCTCACTTCTAGGAAAGTCAGCAGTGATTAAGGGCAGGCTTATGGGAAATCTACCACCAGGGGAGTGCAGCAAAGGAGGGCTAGAATGGAAAATAAAACCACATATTGGTATTTCAAAAGTAATCGTTTCTGCAAGCTGCCCTTTCATTTTCAATTTTTAAAATTTCTTATTTGAGCAAAGGTTAGAATGCAAAACGCAGATTCCATCTGTATTAGGCACAAAAGATACACTTAGGAGCTCATGATTTTGCACTGAAAACTTCAACCTTTTTTAGACAGTGATCCCTATATGTAGGGTGATGATTTCAACTCTTTTGGAAGGGGCTTGTCAAACCATGAGCCTTGCTAAGTTCAGCGCAAGTCACGCGAGGCCATGGAAGTGGGTGGGTAGGAGGAAGCCACCCAGAGGAGCACGGCAGAAGTGCCCAGTGCAAGGAGCCATGATAGGAATTCCTTGTCCTCAAAGGCATAGGGGCAGTTTTCTGGCAGAGCTCATCAGAGCTTCAGAACGAGGTCACTGCGGTCTGGCAGAGTGGCTCTCAGACTTCAGAGTGTAGAAGGAGCACTTGGCAGCTTGTTAAAAACGCAGAATCCCTGGGCTTCACCCTCAGGGGCCCAGGAATCTGCAGTATGAGCAAATATTCCAGGACATTCTGATGCGGACCACATTTAAGGAAACTATGATATGGTAGAAAGAGTATTTACCCATTCAAGTCAGGCAACCTTCAGGAAGTTGCTTTAGAGCCCTTTATGCCTCAGTTTCTCAATTTATGAAATAGAGATAATAAGCCTCACTTCACCAGATGCTTGTGATAATTAAACAGCAAAATCTTTAAAAGCCTTGTACTTGGCACAGAGTAGGCCCTCAAATGTCCACCCCTTTCACCTTCCTGTGCTAATTCACACCATTCAGAAAGGCAGTGGTTATGGTTATCTTACTGTAACTAGGGAAAATCATTTGCTAAGCATGTGAAAATATAAAAAATATTGTAGAGGAAATATTTTACCAATGGATGAGAATAACTGTGTTGAGCAATTTAGATATGTCATTATTCTCAAAAACAATTATGAGGTGCTTTTATTTGTTCATTAATGTGATTCCCTTAAGGAATTTTATCAAGTTATATTAGTGTGAGTCATTGTATTCAGTTCAAAATTATACAATATTACATTCACACTTTTCCCTAATTCAGACCGACCTTCTTGGTTATCTGGAATAAGCAATGTTTTACTGTAGTTAGCTTCTATTAGGCTTGACTTCACCCAGGATCCCAATGATCTTCTACAAAAATCTGTAAAGAATCCCCAATTAAGCAGGAAAGGAGTCAAGGAAAATGGCTTCAATCCACACTCTGCTAATCCTTTATAAGACTCTGACCATCCTCAAGTCCCTATCCCTTAAGATTTTCATATATAAAATAAAGGGCACTTTCCATTCTCTATCATAAGAAACACGCGCACACACATTCAAAGGTGCATGTACAAAGATGTGCACTGCAGCACTGATAGTACAAAGGAAACCCAGAAACGACTAGATGTTCTAAATAAGCTGTGGGACAGCCAACTTATAAAGCAGTCTGCAGAGGTTGAAAGGAATGAGCTTTCTGTTTGGGTAACAACATGGATAATCTCCACATCATAATGTTGAGTGAAAACGACACGCTGCAGAATGACAGGTACAGGAGGAGACGGGGATTAAACATACTCAAACACACTCACGGCATCTACCCTCCATGACTGTCTACACCAAACTGAGAAGTGGGATATTTCTGGGGGGACAAGGAGGACCAGAGATCAGAGGGGTTAATTTCAGCAGATTTTAGCCTTAATCTAGAATTCCTTTTCAAGAACACCATTTTCACATCTTGCTGAGGCAATAAAATATTAATTTAAAAACAAACATTAATTAACTAACAGCCCTTCCGTTAATTGTACAAAGCCAACCAGTCTGAAGCACATGGGGGTCATCAGTTATAGTCTGTTTCCTCTGAGGAAGCAGTCCATGGAACATTCTAAAAGATCTCAGCTCAACTGACACAATGTTTTATTTTACAACAAATAAAAACTTCTTTGAATTTAAAGAGGGATTTGTTCCTCTTGGCTAGCCAGTTGCTGAAAACCTTCTTTTTATATAAAAAGCCATACCTTTTACAGGAGCCAAAAGTGGCCAGAAATTAGTATTTAAAAAGTAAAAAAAATCAGGAGACTCCACTTCACCGTTTTTTTTTTTAAAAAAAGAAATCAGATTTGTTTTAGGTCTATATACTCATTAAATCAAAATCTAATGAATATGAATGCTGGAACAAAACTCCTGATTACAATTCATAATTTACTTTAGCCAAAACTACTCAGATGTATTAAAAACAGCATGGAGACCTAATGGAAAACACTCAAAAAAGGTCACTGTTAGGCAGAGTTCTCCAAGACTTAGAAATCAGAGGATGTGGCTCTTGTCTAGCTAGAGTTGACTGCAAGGCTATCCATACTGGATAGGTGACAGAAAGCAACAGGATCCCACACTTCATGGCACATCAGTGGTCTTCCTTAGGACAAGTGCACACTTTGTGTTCCCAGTGACAGCAGGAAGCGTGTGTTTATAAACTGTATCACATATTACATATGAGGCATATGGGCAGAAACAGCACCATCTTACTGAGCTCGTCTGTTCCCTTCAGGGAAAGGAAGGGCAACTTTGAGAAGAAGCAGAAGAAAGAGTCCACAGATGGTACCATCTGCTCTTAGAGCCTAGAAGGTGACAAAGGCTCTTCAGAGGGATCCCAGAAAACTTTTACAGGGAAGTACACATTCAAAGTATGAGTCTTAAGTGTGATATAGAGAAGTGGGAAAAGCTTGCGACCTGAATTTCTAAAGTTCTCAATGAAAAAGGTGTCCCTTTGGAGAAAACAACTGGCAAATTCTCTGCCAGTGACTCGGGTTGACCAATTAACACGAGGGGGAGGAATCTCTATCCTTTTAAATAACAAGGTCATAAACTACGCTACTGAACAGGTTCTCATGTAACTAAATGACAAATGTTATTCTTGGTGAAATTTTATAATGGTTGTACACAAAAATTTATACGAAAAAAGTAAATATGTAACAGAATACACACAGATTTGGAAACAAGGACTAGGAAGGTTATACACCAAAACAAGTGTGTTCTTCGGCTCAGGGGATCTTGGATGCCTTTATTACCTCTTTTAGTATCTTCAAGAAAAGCTTTATTTATTTAAGAACACATACATACACACACACACAGATACCACAGTAAACCAAAGTCTGTACTGCCTTTTTAAGTAAGATGAAAGCAGCAAATTTCAGAACATTTTATTGCACTTTTAAATCTCTAGAGCCATCACTAACCTCTACATCCTTCCAGAGTTGCTTACTTTTTCCCCAAAATGAATATATACATATACAGTTTCTTTAAGCACTCTGTTGAGATTAAGACTTCTGTTTGTTCTACTGACTAAAGGGCAATGGGAAAGACTTGGAGAGCTAGCTCAGCTAGCAGGGGAAGCCAAACAGAAGCCAAGCACTACCAATTCCGCACTGAGTTCAACAAAACTTGAGTTGCTAGGAAAGAGACTGGACTTCCCTGGACCAAATTCTTTCTAGGTTTAAAGCAAGTGAGAATGTCAATCAACCTTTCTAACCGAAAGAATAGAGAAAAATTGTGCAAAGGACTTTGAAGGGGTGAATCCTAATGTCAGTGTCATATGCAAAATAGGTCTTCAAATAATAAAAATGTATTATGTCATCATGATATTCATTCCCCTCTGCACTTGGTTTCTAGATTTGAGCATTTTAATACAAACATTTTGGTTTCCTCTTCAGTGTTCTAACAAACATTATGTTGCTAATCAATGTCATTGAACACATGGGATTGTTTAGAGTTTTGCAAAGGAAAATGTTGCATTAGAACTGGTGTCCTGGATCTGAATCAGGCATTGCAATGTGCAAGGAGCAGGGAACTGTTATATATATTTAGAGAAAGAAAGAGACACACAGTTAGGTAGTTCGTGGAGACCACTGAAAGCTATGGAAAAGAGAAGGCTCAGAACCTGCTCTTATGTTCCAAAGAGTTAGTAAGACTGCTCCTGAGCACATTTTCATCTCAGA